GTGGAGCTAAGGTACAAACTCAAGTACAATACGTTTGTTTTTGTTTGTTTTTTGCCAGTCCTGAGGCGTAAAGTCAGGGTCTGGGCACTGTCCCTGAGCTTCTTTTGCTCAAGGCTAACACTCTACCCCTTGAGACTGTAAGGTCCATTCCTGGACAGTGAACAGACCTCGCCCAATACCTGCGTTACCTAGGCAACTGGGACACCTGGAAGAGGTCACGTCTGCATCCGCTGAGGTCACATCTTAATCTGATGTGGCCACACCTGTCTCCCACCTGATCCTACTTCCCTTTACCTGGACACACCCTTCCCGCCCTACCCTATATAAGGCCTAACCCGGGGCCAGATGGCTTCTTCTTTTTGCCAGCCGCATGGAGTGCCAACCTTGCCTGCTCCCAGCAGGTCTACTGAATAAACCTACCCCTTACCTGAATACCACGTGCATGGTGCAGTTCTTATTCGGCTACCTCTTTTAAAAACCTAACAGAGGGCTGGGAAGGTGGCTCAGTGGTAGAGCGCTTGCCTTGCATGCCTGAGGCCCTGGGTTCGATTCCTCAGCACCACATAAGCAAAAAAAAAAAAAAAAAAAAAGGCAGAAGTGGCGCTGTGGCTCAAGAGGTAGAGTGCTAGCCTTGAGCTGAAGAGCTGAGGGACAGCGCCCAGGCCCAGAGTTCAGGCCCCATGACCAGAACAAAAAAAAAAACAAAAAACCTAACAGAGACACAGTGCCACTTCTGGTTTTTTCTGTTTATGTAGTACTGAGGAATCAAACCCAGGGCTTCATGCATGCTAGGCAAGCACTCTACCAGTAGACCACATTCCCAGCCTAATATGATGGTTCTGAACCACTATGTGAGGGCCATAGATAACTAACTTGGATAGCAAAAAAGTTTTGCTGGCATTGCTAGCAAAAGATCAGTTGAGAATACTTCCAAGAAGTAAGGATTCTTATTTCTTCTGTCTCCTGACCTTTGACAACTTCTTATGCTTTCTGTAGCCATCCAGAAAGTCTATTGCTTGCTTACTTCAATCCAAGAATCCGACTGTTTAGATCTTTCCTGTTCACCAGAAGTTTCCTTTTTAAATCAGCCATGCTTCTCCTAGATGTAGGTTACTTGGCAACATTTCAGAAGTTTTTTTTGGTCCGTTGTGGATCTTGCACTCTGGGCCTGGGCGCTGTCCCTCAGCTCTTCAGCTCAAGGCTAGCACTCTACCATTTGAGCCACAGCAACACTTCTGGCTTTTTCTGTTTATGTGGTACTGAGGAGTCAAACACAGGGCCTCATGCATGCAAGACAAGCACTCTACCACTGAACCACTTTCCCAGCCCCATTTCAAAAGTTTTGATCTTTGCTGTTATCTACTACTGGAAGAGGGAGAAAAAAATATGTGCCCCCATTGCTCATAGGGAGTTGTATCCTTTCTGGGTCCCATTTAGAAGTTTTAATATGAAAATAAGGCATGTGATGGGAAAAACAGGAAATCACTTTGCCTTATCACATTTCATCTGTGATACTCTTTATTTTTTAATTTATTTCTAGCCATACTGAGGACTGAACCCAAGTACTTTACTGTTTGAGCTGTGCCCTCCAGACAGCTATATTTACTTTATATTTTATTTTTTTATTTTTATTTTTTTTTGGGTCCAGTCATGGGGCCTGAACTCTAGGCCTGGGCGCTGTCCCTCAGCTCTTCAGCTCAAGGCCAGCGCTCTACTACTTGAGCCACAGCGCCACTTCCGGCTTTTTTCTTTTTGCTTATGTGGTGCTGAGGAATCGAACCCAGGGCCTCAGTCATGCAAGGCAAGCTCTCTACCACTGAGCCACCTTCCCAGCCCCTATATTTTATTTTTTATTTTTGAGACAGGGTCTTGCTATGTAGCTCAGACTGGCTTATAATTTGCTATATAACTAAGGCTGGTCTTGAACTTGAGATCTTCCTGCTTTAGCCTATTGAATGCTGGTCTTATTGTCCTGAGTGTACACTATGTGCAATACTGTTCTTTTCCAGCTTGAGCCCTTTCACCATTCCTTCTTCTTCTTCTTTTTTTTAAATTTTCCTCCTCAGTCCCGGAGCTTGAACTCTGGGCATGGGCTCTGTCCTGGAGCTTCTTTTTTGCTCACGGCTAGCACTCTACCACTGGAGCCAAGTGCCATTTTTGGCTTTCTCTGAGTAGTTTATTGGAGATAAGAGTCTCACAGACTTTTCTGCCTGGTCTGGCAGGATCCTCAGATCTCAGCCTTCTAAGTAGCTAGGATTACAGGTGTGAGCCACTGATGCCCTGTCACCATTCCTTCTTCTAATAGTAGAGAGGTTTCTTCTCTTGTTCCCATCATCGAGGTAAGACTTTAAAAAAAAAAAATGTGTGTTTAGAGAAATGTAAACTACTAAGGTTATAGGATTAAGAAATACCTTTTTTTGTCAGAAGAAATATCTTTTGGTGGTAATTTCCCAACAGACAGCTTCCGATTATCTTTGGAGTTAATGAAGTAGAAGGATCATATGAATTTTCTAAAGCAGCAGCTAATCAAATAATACTCACCCACAATACATAGTTTAGATTGAACTAAAACACATTGGTTCTCCTTATTATTTAATTCTAGCTGACTATAACAATTTTAGGGAGAAATTGATCATAGTATAGGCAGAGATGATCTGGGATGCAACTGGTTACTGTGTGACAATGAACTTGACCATGGAGTAGATCATCCTAGATAAATTATGTCAGTGTTCTAGATGAATCAAAAGCCACTCATGGGGCTGGGAAGGTGGCTCAGCAGTAGAGTGCTTGCCTCGCATGCATGAGGCTGGAAGTGGAAATGTGGCTCAAGTGGTAGAGTGTTAGCCTTGAGCTGAAAAGCTCAGGGACAGCACTTAGGCCTAGAGTTCAAGCCGCACGATGGACCAAAAAACAAAAAAAGTCACTCACTTATGGAGTAAGGTTTCTTCACTTCTATAGATATATCAATAAATAATTCACATTTTTTTTGGGGGGGGGTAATCAGTCGTGGGCCACTTCCCACTTTTTCTGTTTATGTGATGCTAAGGAATCGAAACCAGGGCCTCATGCATGTGAGAAAAACATTCTACCACTAAGCCACCTTCCCAGCCCCTCACATTTTATTTTCTAGAGAACAAACAACTGGAGTCTGACAATAACTGAGCCACTCATTTAAATACTTAATAAATATTGTTATTTGTTTATTTAGTTTTAGTCAGTCCTGAGGCTTGAACTGAGGGCCTGAGCACTGTCCCTGAACTCCTTTTGCTCAAGGCTAACACTCTACCACTTGAGCCACAGTACTATTTCAAGCTTTCTCCATTGATGTGATACTGAGGCAGGCTAGGCAAGCACTCTACCACTAAGCCACATCCCCAATAAATATTATTTAATTAACATATTCATTAAGCCAAGGGCTGGTAGCTCAAGCCTGTAATCTTAGCTACTCAAGAGGCTGAGATCTGAGGATTGCTGTTCAGCCCAGGCAGGAAAGTCTATGTGCAACTCTTATCTCCAATTAACCATCAGAAAACTGGAGCTGGTGCTGTGGCTCAAAGTGGTAAAGGGCTAGCTTTGAGCAAAAGAGCTCGCTCAGGACAGTACCCAGAGTCTGAGTTCAAGCCCCTCGACCTACAAAAACAAAAAACCCAAAAAACATATACAGTATCATTTAATTTTATGTTACTACTGAGTCATTGCTGTATGTTCAGAGTTATGGCTAAAACTTGTAGGAGTATTTACCCTTGAAAAAATTTCAATATAGTAAGATTTAAAACAGTACCTTCCATCTCCATAAGTGTTAGTTCCTAACACTTTACTTTGACCTTTATAGTAATCAACTCTAAAAGCTTTTGTATGACAAAAAAATAAAATAAGGGCTGGGAAGGTGGCTTAGTGGTATAGTGCTTGCCTTGCATGCATGAGGCCCTGGGTTCAATTTCTCAGTACCACATAAACAGAAAAAGCCGGAAGTGGTGCTGTGGCTCAAGTGGTAGAGCTCTAGCCTTGAGTTGAAGAGCTGAGGGACAGTGCCCAGGCCGAGTTCAGGCCCCACGACTGACAAAATAAGTAATGATAATAAATAAAACCGGAAGTGGTGCTGTGGCTCAAAGTGGTAGAACACCGGCCTTGAGCAAAAGAGCTCAGAGATAGCACCTAAGTCCTGGCTCCATGACAGACAAAAAATTTAAAAAAAAAAAAAAAGCTTTTACATATCAACTACAGCTCCTAACTCATGAGACAAATATTTTAAGTGTTAAACTTACAATAACTGACAGACTGAGAACTAATGGCTAACTAGCAACTAAGGAGGCTGAGATCTAGGATCATGGTTGTAAACCAGCCTGGGCAGGAAAGTCCCTGAGACTCTTCTCTACAGTTAACCAGCAAAAAGCCAAAAGTGGAGGGCCTGACTTGAGCGGAAAAGCTCAGGGACGGTACTCAGGCCCTGAGTACTTCACAGGACAGATAGGGAAAAACAGGCATCAGGTTTAAGATTATACAGCGTTTGGAGCTCAAAACAATCCATGGCCAAGATGTACTCCAGGAACGGAGGGAAAAACACCTATCTCAGGGCCCTCAACTTCGGGAGAAAAACAACTCTCTCTTCTTTTTCTTTTTCCTTTTTTTTTTCCCCTCCCACCGAATGTAAATACTATGCATCCACGCACCGAACGAACAGGAAGAAAATCACGCTACAAGTCCAGCCAGTCAGCGAGCCAGCCTCGTGCGCAGGCGCAATTTGAGTTCAAGCACTCCGACTGGCGCGTGACAGTCGTGCAGGTCACCCTACCCCCATGATGCTCTTACTGCGCACGCGCGAGACAGGACTCCACCCCCGTCCCACTTTTTCCATTCCTCCTTCCCGCCCCCCCTCCCGCCACGAGCACGTGCGCGTTCTTGCGGCTCTTATTTCCGCGGCGGGCGCGCGCGCCCTGGAAAATTCCACTTCGTAGTTCGCTCCACCCTTCAGGCGACCTCTCCAACCCAACACTCTTTACGCTCCGCCCCTATCCCAGTGGCCTTTGCGGGAGCAAAATGGCTGCCCCCGTGCATCGGGGGTTGTCTTGCTTATCCAGGGCTTTGGGATGGTGGTCTCGGCAGGTGGGTAGAGACAGAATGGATAAGACTTTAGGGACTTAAGGCGGAGGATGGAGTAAAGGGAAATACTCTATGTGCAGTTATCCTGGGGGTCAGCCCTAGGCTGGGAGAAGTTTGAGGTGGACGAGATCTTCCTACTTAGTAACCTCAGTGGTGGATTGGGGTGGGCTTTGGTGGAGCCCAAGGCCTGGATCTGGCTGGAGAGGAAGTGTGAAAGGGGGAAGTTGTGGCTTGGAAGGTGAACCCACTTCTTGGTATTCTTATAAATACATAAACTGAACTGCAGCTGGGAAAGAAGGACCCCTGGTAGTCACTCCTCCTGCCTGAGCAAACCTCCTGAGAAAAGGTTGCCTGGGCCTTTAGTTGGGGGTTAGCACGAAGAATCAAGTCTGTCGGGAAACTTCCTTTAGATTGAACGAAGTGTTCTTGTGGGAGAGATGTTAGGAAAAGGACTTTGCTTATGCTTTAACAATTGCATCAGTTCGTCTTGATATTGCATTGGTATTCAAGTTCCTCCTCATGTTAAATTTTTTTGAAAATTGACACCTTGCTTTAAACAGCACACCTCATAGTACTATGGAACGTACTAAACTTTCCTTTGGAGCTTTTTAATTCATTCACGTAAAGTCCAACTTTCCCTTCCCCCTCCTAGAATTGTTTATTACTGAAGTATTCTTTAGCTATACCCTTCCTATAAGGCTTAAGTTCAAGATAGTTTTTTTTTTCTTTTTCTAAGTTACCTATATTTTAACCTTTCCCTCACTTTTCAGCCAGTGTTGGTGACCCAGTCCGCAGCTATAGTTCCAGTAAGAACCAAAGCACGTTTCACGCCCCCTACTTATGAACCCAAATACAGAACAGAAAAGGAATTTCTAGAACATGCCCGGAAAGCAGGGTTGGTTATTCCTCCAGAAACTTTGGAACGTCCGATACATATTGCCTGTACAGGTAAAGTGTTAAGATTTCTGGGACCTTGACCCAATCCCCTATGATAGATTTTTTTTTTTTTTGTCGGTTATGGGGCCTGAACTCTGGGCCAGGGCTCTGACCTTCAGCTCTTCAGCTCAAGGCTAGCGCTCTATCACTTGAGCCACAGTGCCACTTCTGGCTTTTTCTGCTTATGTGGTCCGGAGGAATCAAACCCAGGGCCTCATGCATGGAGGCAAGCACAGTACCACTGAGCCACCTTCCCAGCCCCCTATAGGAGATCTTGAGCTTGGACTAGTTTGAATTATGATTGATAACATTAAATTAGCTACTAAGTCAGTTCAACTACAGTAATTTACCTTATGTTTCATAAGGGCTTAAATTTTTTTTGGGGGGGAGGGAGACAGAGTGTTCTTCTGTTGCTCAGGCTTGCTTCAAATTCACTATCCTCCTGCTTCAGTGTCCCAAATATTGATAGTACAGGTGTAGGCTACCATGCCCAGGCATAAGACCATCTTTGATCTTGTTTTCATACTATTTGTTTTAAGTGAGAATGCAATCTCCCTATTTGGTAGAAATAGAAACAGGTTGAGAGAAGTGTTATTCTGTGTTTTTGTTTTTTTATTTAATACACTCACACACACATATATAATTTTTGTGTGTGTGTTGGTTGTGGGGGCTTGAACTTAGGGCCTGGGCACTGTCCCTGAACTCTTTTGCTGAAGGCTAGCACTCTACCACTTTGAGCCCCAGCTCCACTTTCGGTTTTCTGGTGGCTAATTGGAGATAAATCTCACATACTTTCCTGCCTAGCCTGGCTTTGAACTGTGATCCTCAGATTTCAGCCTCTTGAATAGTTTAGGATTATAGGTGTGAGCCACCAGTGCCTGGCTAGTTTTATTTTTAATATGAGATAGTTCCCTCTATGTGAAAGTCTGTTGTTATCTACTTTGAATCCAGAATCCTTGGAAGTTCTTTTTTTTGGGGGGGGAGGAGGGGAGGGGTGGCTGTGACGATTGAAACTAGAGCCTTGAGCTTGCTAGGCAATGCTCTACCATTTGAGCTATGTTCCAGTCCTTTGGATGTTATTTTGTATTTGAGATAGAACCTTGCCTGGAATAGCCATGAATTTAGGGTCCTCTCCTCTGCCTCCTCATATCAATTTTGCAAGAACTCAAGATGACTTTTCAGTCTTACAGCACTTCATTGTCTCCTTTTTTTCTGTATAGCGGGCATCTTTGATGCCTATATTCCTCCTGAAGGTGATGCCCGGATATCTTCTCTTGCAAAGGAAGGACTGAAACAGAGAGCTGAGCGATTGAAGAAGAACGTGGCATCACGATTGTCGTATGTGTTTGAAACAAGTGGTTGATATTGTGTCAAGTGAGATGATTGTGTGTATTTGATCTTTATTCTGTTAATATGGCATATTATACTAGTTGATTTTTAAATGTTAAGCACACCTTACATTAAAATAAACTCCACTTGCTATTTCTCATCTTTTTTTTTTTTTTTTTGGTCGGTCATGGGAGCGCTGTCCCTGAGCTCTTCAGCTCAAGGCTTGCTAGCACTCTACCACTTGAGCCATAGTGTCACTTCTGGATTTTTCTGTGTATGTCGTACTGAGGAATCGAACCTGGGGTTTCATGTGTGTGGTAGGCAAGCACTCTACCACTAGGCCACATCCCAGTCCGTTTTCATCCTTTTAATATACTTACATTGATTTTTTTTTTTTTTTTTTGGTCGGTCCTGGGGCTTGAACTCTGGGCCTGGGCGCTGTCCCTCAGCTCTTCAGCTCAAGGCGAGCGCTCTACCACTTAAGCTACAGTGCCACTTCTGGTTTTCTGGTGGTTTATTGGAGATAGGAGTCTCACGGTCTCTCCTGCCCGGGCTGGCTTTGAACCGCGATCCTCAGATCTCAGCTTCCTGAGTAGCTAGGATTATAGTCGTGAGCCACCAGCGCCCGGCTACATTGATATTTTAATTAAATCAGGATCCATTTATTGTATTACAGCTTGAAGTATTGACAGCTGAATCATATAGTACATCATGATTACTTTCCCTTTCAAGCATAATATTTATTTCTGAAAGTTAAATGTCTTTTGTTTATTTGCCTACGGAACCCAATGTTAGTTTACTCTGCTTGCATACAAAACATTATTTTTATCCACTTCAGTATTTTTTGTTTGTTTGTTTGTTTTCTGCTAGGACTTGAACTCAGCTCTCCTTTAACTTTTTATTTATTTATTCATTTTTTTCTTGGGTCCGGTCGTGGGGCCTGAACTCTGGGCCTGGGCGCTGTCCCTCAGCTCTTCAGCTCAAGGCTAGTGCTCTACCACTTGAGAACCACAGCGCCACTTTCAGCTTTTTTCTTTTTGCTTATGTGGTGCTGAGGAATCAAACACAGGGCCTCATGCATGCAAGGCAAGAGTTCTATCACTGAGTCACCTTCCCAGCCCCTCCTTTAACTTTTTTGTTCAAGCCTAGCATTCTACCGCTTGTGCCACAACTCTAATTTTGTTGCTTTTTTTTTGGTGGTTAGTTGGAGATAGTCTCACAGACTTTCCTGCCCAGCCTGGCTTTGAACTACAGTCTTTAGATCTCAGCATCCTGAGATCTAGCATGTGGCTTATAGTTCATTTTTCACTTTATTTATTTATTTTTAAATTTTTGGGTCTGGTCGTGGGGCCTGAACTCTGGGCCTGCGTGCTGTCTCTCAGCTCTTCAGCTCAAGGCTAGCACTCTACCACTTGAGCCACAGCGCCACTTCCGGCTTTTTTCTTTTTGCTTATGTGGTGCTGAGGAATCGAACCCAGGGCTTTATGCATGCAAGGCAAGCGCTCTACCACTGAGCCACCTTCCCAGCCCCCATTTTTCACTTTAGTAGAGCATTTTCTCCCAACTTCCTGACAAAGAATGCCAAGTAAGCTGGTGCTGGTGGTTCGTGCTTGTAATTCTAGCACATTAAGAGGCTGAGATCTGAGGATCACTGTTCAAAACTCAGTCCTGGAAGGAAAGTCTTTAAGACTCTATCTCTAATTAACCAGCAACAAAAAAAAGCTGAACATGGAGCTATGGCTCAAATGGTAGAGTGCTGGTCTTGAGCAGAAAAGCTTAGAGACAGCATCCACATCCTGAGTTGAAGCCCTAGACCTGCACACAGACTCACATACACCAAAAACAAAACAAACAAACAAAAAAACAAATTGGGGCAAATAAATGAGATCTTGCAAATCTGAAAAATAAAGTTTTGTTTGTTTTTTTTTAACCTTCCCAGCATTTATTTGCCCAGGTATAAAATTCTGTGTAGGAAATATGTTTTCCTAAATTAAAAGTATTACTTTGGCAGGACTCCGGTGGCTCATGCCTGTAATCCTCGCTACTCAGGAGGCTGAAGGCTGAGGATCACAGTTAAAAGTTAGACCAGGCAGGAAAGTCCATGAAGCTCTTATCTCTAATTATTCTTTATTTGGAAGCTGAGATCTGAGGATCTTGGTTCAAAGCTAGCCTAGACAGGAAAGTCCATCAGATTCTTACCTATAACTAACTACCAAAACTGGAAGTGGAGCTGTGGCTTAACTGGTAGAGTGCTAGCCTTTAGCAAAACAGCTCAGAAACGGGCTGGGAAGATGGCTCAGTGGTAGAGCGCTTGCCTTGCATGCATGAGGTCCTGGGTTCGATTCCTCAGCACCACATAAGCAAAAAGGAAAAAACCTGAAGTGGCTCTGTGGCTCAAGTGGTAGAGCGCTAGCCTTGAGCTGAAGAGCTGAGGGACAGCACGCAGGCCCAGAGTTCAGGCCCCACGACCAGACCCCTCCACCAAAAAAAAAAAAAAAAGGCTCAGAAACAGTATCCAGTGTCCAGGCTCTGAGTTCAAGCACCAGGACTAGCATGCATGCATGGATACATGCATACATATATACTTATTTATTTATTTATTTTTATTTATGTATTTTTTTTGGTCGATCATGGGGCTTGAACTCGGGGCTTGGGCACTGTCTCTGGGCTTCTGAGTTTTGGGTTTTTTTTTCCTCTGGGCCTGGGTGCTGTCCCTCAGCTCTTCAGTCAAGGCAAGCACTAGGTGAGCACTCTACCAATAAGCCATGTTCCCAGACCTTGGAATGCTTTATTTTTGAAATACAGTTTCACATTCATGCCTAGGCCATCCTTTTACATTTCCCATGTGTAGCTGGGATGACAGTTATGAACCACTGTATGCAGGTCTATATGTGTGTGTGTCCGTGTGTCCATCTGTCTACCCATGTGTGTGTCCTGGTCCCTGGGCTTAAAGTCAGTACCCCAGTGCTGTCCCTAATCTATTTTGATCAAGGCTAGTAGTCTACCACTTGAGCCTCTTACTTCAGCTGTTTTGGTGCTTAAGAAGAGATAAGAGTCTCCTGAGGCTTCATGATCCTGATCTCAGACTCCTGAGTAGCTAGGATTATAGTCATGAACCACTGGCGTCTTGCTTGCACCCAGTTTTTTATTGGTTTGAGATTTTTTGTTTGTTTGTCTGTTTGTTTTTTTTTTTAAGTGTATTTTTTTTGTCTTTTCTTTCTTTCTTTCTTTTCTTTTGGTACTAGGGAACAAACCCTGGACGTTGCACTTGCTAGGCAAGTGCTTTGTCACTGAGCTACTTCCCAGTCCTGGTTTGAGATTTGACGGGGTTATCTTATAAACTCTTTGCCCCAAGCTGACCTTGATCCATGATCGTCCAGATCTCTGCTTCCAAATAATTAAGAATGCATGGGCTGGGAAGGTGGCTCAGTGGTAGAACGCTTGCCTTGCATGCATGAGGCCCTGGGTTCGATCCTCGGCACCACATAAGCAGAAAAAAAAAGCCGGAAGTGGCACTGTGACTCAAGTGGTAGAGCGCTAGCCTTGAGCTGAAGAGCTGAGGGACAGTGCCCAGGCCCGGAGTTCAGGCCCACAACTGGATCCAAAAAAAAATTAAAAAAAAAAAAAATTAAGAATGCAGGTTTGAGCCACTGTTGCTGACCAAGAAGCTTTGATCTTTATAATAATCAATTTGAGAAGGGGTTTGAGTTTACTGTTTGTAGCACATTCCAAAAATAATGATTGATTGCTAAGGCCAGAGAATTGTTACTTCAGGGCTAGCCTAGGCTACATAGTGAAAAGAAGAAAAGGGAGAGGCAATTTAAAAAATGATTATTGAATAAGTAGGCATTTACATTGTAAATTCTCATTACGGGAATTATGAGAAGACTTTTAGAATGGTTCTGCTTAATTTTTACAGAATCCAGAAGATAAAAGAATATGATGCTAATTTTAAAACAAAGGACTTCCCTGAAAAAGCTAAGGATATCTTTATTGAAGCTCACCTTTGTCTAAACAAGTAAGTGAATTCCCTATGTATTACGTGTTCATTTGTTTCTGGTGGTACTAGGGCTTGAACTTGAAGCCTTGTGCAAGTTAGACGGATGCTCTACACTTAGGCATGCCCCCTTGTCCTTCCATGCTTTTGCTTCTTTTTTTTTTTTTTTTTTTTGGAGTTGGATCTCAGGTCTTTGCTGGGACTGGCCTGGTCTTCAATCCTATTTACACTTTCTATGTAAATCCTTAGCTGAGATAACAGGCCACCACACCCAGCTATTGATTGAAATGGGCTCTCATTAACTTTTGTGCCTGGGCTAGCCTTAAACTTTGATCCTCCAGATCTCTACCTCCCCTGTAGTAGTGATTACTAGTGTGAGCCTGTAATTTTTTGTTTAAATTTTTTTCTTTAGAGTTGGTGGTATAGAAATAGTAGAACACTACTGGCCTACCATGGGGGCAAGCCTCTGGGTTCAAACCCCAGCACCATTAAAAAAAAAAAATTAATTGTGAAGTATTTGAAACACAAAAAATGTACTTATGAAAGACAAAGCAAAATATAGACATCCAAAATTTTGAATTCAGGAAATACTGGATTTTATTTTTACCTTATGGATTAGTATTTTATTTATTTATTTTTTGTTAGTTGTGGGGCTTGAACTGTGGGCTTGGGCACTGTCCCTCAGCTCTTTAGCTCAAGGCTAGAACTCTACCACTTGAGCTACAGCGCCACTTCTAGTTTTCTGGTGGTTTATTGGAGATAGGAGTCTCACGTTCTCTCCTGCCCGGGCTGGCTTTGAACCGCGATTCTCAGATCTCAGCCTCCTGAGTAGCTAGGATTACAGGCGTGAGCCACCAGCGCCCGGCTGAAGGAGGATCTTTTGAGTCCTTGAGTCTAAGAGTTCTGATCAGGTATCCACACTAAATTTGGCACCAATAAGGTATTCTCCCAGGAGCAGGATGTCCTGAGGAGGGGTAAATTGGCCCAGGATGTTAATGGAGCAGGTCAGAACTCCCAAGATGATCAGTTAGTGTTGTGTCTGAATAGCATTGTGTTTCAGACTGGCCAGCACAGGGAGAGACCCTGTGTTTTTATCATATGAGCACATCTATAAGTGATGTTCTAGCCAAGCACCAGTGGCTCATGCCTGTAATCTTAGCTACTTAGGAGGCTGAGATCTGAGAATTGTGGTTCAAAGCAACTCTGAGCAAGAAAGTCTTAGAGACTCAAATCTCTATTTAACCACCAGAAAACCAGAAGTGGTGCTGTGGTTCAAAGTGGTAGAGTACTGGCCTTGAGCGAAAAGCACCCAGGCCCTGAGTTCAAGCCCATGACTAAAAAAAAAAGTGATATTCTTACTATTATATGTGTTTAAAAAATTTATGAGCTGGATGCTGGTGGCTCAGGCCTATAATCCTAACTACTCAGGAGGCTGGGATCTGATGATCACAGTTCGCAGCCCGCTCAGGCAGGAAAGTCCTTGAGACTTTTTTTTTTTTTTTGTCAGTTGTGGGGCTTGAACTCTGGGCCTGGGCGCTGTCCCTCAGCTCTTCAGCTCAAGGCGAGCGCTCTACCACTTGAGCTACAGCGCCACTTCTGGTTTTCTGGTGGTTTATTGGAGATAGGAGTCTCACGGTCTCTCCTGCCTGGGCTGGCTTTGAACCGCGATCCTCAGATCTCAGCCTCCTGAGTAGCTAGGATTACAGGCGTGAGCCACCAGCGCCCAGCTATCCTTGAGACTCTTATCTCCAATAGACTACTCAGAAAAATCTGGTCGTGGCACTGTGGCTCAAGTGGTTGAGTACTAGCCTTGAGCACAAAGAGGCTAAGGGATAGCACTCAGGCCCTGGGTTCAAGCCCCAGGGCCGGGGAAAAAAAATGTAGGTGATATATTGAACATACTCTTTTTTCTTTTCTTTTTTTTTTTTGGGGGGGGTCCCGTCGTGGGGCTTGAACTCTGGGCCTGGGCGCTGTCCCTCAGCTCTTCAGCTCAAAGCTAGCACTCTACCACTTGAGCCACAGCTCCACTTCCAGCTTTTTTCTTTTTGCTTATGTGGTGCTGAGGAATCGAACCCAGAGCCTCAGGCATGCAAGGCAAGCGCTCTACCACTGAGCCACCTTCCCAGCCCCGAACATACTCTTTTTTCCAGTGTTGGGGATCAAATACAAGATCTTGCCCCATGCTAAGCAAGTGATCTATCAGTGAGTGACATCCCTAGCTTGTGGATATCTTTTTGAAACATTATTTTTTAACATTCAACCTTGTTTTTTGTATTTTTCATCTTTTTTTTCAGTCATGGGACTTGAACTCACAACCTGGGCCCTGACCCTGAGCTTTTTTGCTCAAGGCTAGCATTCTATCACCGTGAGCCACAGCTCTACTTCCAATTTTCTGGTGGTTAATTGGAGATAAGAGTCATGGACTTTCCTGTCCAACTAGCTTTGAACCACAATCCTTAGATCTCAGCCTCCTGAGTAGCTAGGGTTGCAGGTGTAATAGTTACTTTCTGTCAGCATAGTGAAGATGTCATCTTTGCTAGACACACCTGTAATCCCAGCACTTGGGAGGCCGAGGTCAAAATTCAAAGTTAAAAATTGACCTGGGCAATATAGCTATTACATAGGCCAATAAAAAGACAGATGGTTATCTTGCATTAGGTCCAAAGATGAGGGTATAGGATACAGGGCCAAGCTGATTGGTACCGATGATGCATGAAAGGTAATTGTAAGGAAATAAGACTCATCTTTTTATGGGTATATGGTGTTGGGCTCTGTTCCCATATTAGCTTAAAGCAAAAATGAGTTCTCATGTTCCACTGAGGATACTTGCCTTTCTTAGAGATACAATTTCAGAGAAATTTCTTTTTGTTCCATAGGATAATTTTACTATGCTATTAAATTCCAATGGTTTTTGATAAATCTTATCATTCATCTTTGTGTCCCTAGAATAGTCCATACTATCTCTTATAATAGATGTACAGAAAATATTTATAAAAATGAATTATTTTGCTATGTACCCATAGCTTCCTCTTGTAATCCTAGCTACCTGGGAGGCTGAAATCTGAAGATTGCAGTTTGAAGTAAGCTGGGGCAGGAAAGACTATGAGACTCTTATTTCCAATTAACCACTGAAAAGCCACAACTAGAACTGTGGCCCAAGTGGTAGAGTGCTAGTCTTGAGCAAAAAAGCTCACAGATAGTACTCAGGCCCTGAGTGTAAGCCATAGGACCAGCACAAAAACAAATAATTAAATTTTTACTTTCATGGCTATATTTAACTTCCATTACAGGATATCATAAAAGCAGGGATCAGTGATGGAAATATCTCTTTCTTTTCTAGTTCAGACCATGACCGGCTTCATACTTTGGTAACTGAACACTGTTTTACGGTAGGTTCTTATCCTTAAAACTGCATGATGCCAGAGTAGGCAGATTCTAGATATTAATTGGAGCTTGTGTTTTGTTTTGTTTTTGTTTTTGTTTTGTTTTTGGCAATACAAGAATTTGAATTTGAGATCTCATGCTTGCTAGGCAGGTGGTCTGCACTTGAGTTATACTGTTAGCCCTTTTCTTTTTTTTTGGGTCCAGTCGTGGGGCCTGAATTCTGGGCCTGGGCGCTGTCCCTCAGCTTTTCAGCTCAAGGCTAGCGCTCTACCACTTGAGTCACAGCGCTACTTCCGGCTTTTTTCTTTTTGCTTATGTGGTGCTGAGAAATTGAACCCAGGGCCTCATGCATGCAAGGCAAGCGCTCTACCACTGAGCCACCTTCCCAGCCCAGCCCTTTTCTTTTTATACTTTTAGGTAGGATCTCAATTTTTTTCCTGGACTAGCTTCTACCTATGGCTTGAACTTTCTACCTATGTTTTCTTGCATACCTGGGTACATAGACACATGCCACCATGCTTAGCTTATTGGTTGAGATGGGGTGGGGGTGGGGGTCTTACTAACTTTCTGCCCAGGCTAGCCTCAAACTGGTCCTCCTGATCTGTTTCCTGAGTAGCTGGTATTAAAGCCTTGAGCCACCTGAGTTCTGGGGTCTTTTTTTTTTTTTTTTTGGTCAGTCATGGGGCTTAAAATTAAGAGCCTGGGCACTGTCCTTGAGCTTTTACATTCAAGGCTGGTATGCTAACACTTTGAGCTATAGTGCTTCTTCTGGTTTTCTGGTAGTTAATTGTAGATAAGAGTCTCACGGACTTCCTGCCTGGGCTGGCTTGACCACGGTCTTCAGATCTCAGCCTCCTGAGTAGCTAGGATTACAGATGTGAGCCATCAGTGCCCAGTGCTGACTTTTTTTTGGGGGGGGGGGGGTGGGCCTGGGCGCTATCCCTGTGTTCTTCAGCTGAAGGTGAGTGTTCTACCTTTTTTTTTTTTTTTTTTTTGTCGGTCATGGGGCTTGAACTCTGGGCCTGGGCGCTGTCCCTCAGCTCTTCAGCTCAAGGCGAGCGCTCTACCACTTGAGCTACAGCGCCACTTCCGGTTTTCTGGTGGTTTATTGGAGATAGGAGTCTCACGGTCTCTCCTGCCCGGGCTGGCTTTGAACCGCGATCCTCAGATCTTAGCCTCCTGAGTAGCTAGGATTACAGGCGTGAGCCACCAGCGCCCGGCTGTGTGCTCTACCTCTTGAGCCACAGCGCCACTTCTGGTTTTTTAGTGGTTTATTGGAGATCAGAGTCTTAAGGACTTTTCTGCCCAGGCTGGCTTTGAACCGTGATCCTCAGATCTCAGCCTCCTGAGTAGCTAGGATTATAGGCATGAGCCACCAGCACCCAGCTGACTTTTTGTTTTTTAAACATGGCCTTAACTATGTAGCCCAGGAAGTTTATCTCAAACCTTAGTCTCCCAATTGCTGGGGTTACATACATGAAGCAACACATCTGGTTCTGTTTTTTTTCCCCAGAAGGACTGGTTTTGAAAGTGCATAAAGTTTAAGGCATAAGCATAAGTCTTTTACTTTTTGCTGAGTGATAATGATTGGCAGAGGTTGGTAAAAAGTAAAAAGTCTCTTAGTGGGTAGTACTGAACCACAGAGGGCAGAACAGGCTACTTGATGCTGTACTTATACATGTTTATACTACAGTGAATCATTTAGCCAGAGTTGATGAGGGTGCTAGATACAGAAGAAGGTGGATTCTGTTGGTTCAGTTAGAAATTCAATAATAAGAACTTCTACCGAGTGACTGTGGCTGACATCTGTAATCCTAGCTAATCAGGAGGTTGAGATCTGAGAATCATGGTTCAAAGCTTTTCATGCAGGAAGGTCTGTGAGAACCTTATCTCCATTAACCACTAAAAAGCCAGAAGTGGAGCCTGTGGTTCAAGTGGCAGAGCACTGGCCTTGAGCAAAAAAGAGCTGAGGAATAATGTCCAGGTCCTGACTTAAAGCCCCAAGAATGTTACAAAGAATAAGAAGTTCATTTTTAGGCAGGTGCTTGTGGCTCATAACTGTAATCATAAGGACTCAGGAAGCCATCTTGGGAAGGAGGTCTGTGAGACTCATCTCCAGTTAACCACTAAAAAGCCAGAAGTGGAGCTTGGCTCAAGTGACAGAGCACTAGCTTTGAACAAAAAAAGCTCAGAGACAGCTACCAGGCCCTGAATTCAAACCCCAAGACCAGCACAAAGGACCCCAAACCCCCCCAAAAAAACTTCATTTTCTAAAATTTAGCTTTACTGTCAGTAGAACTTAAGTTTTTAGTATTCTCTCAAGTATTAGCAGTATAATCCTTATGTCCTTACAAAATTTCCGCCTTTCACTGTTAAAACATGTTGTGGGGCAGAGGACAGGCACTCAATAGAAGCATATGCATATTTATGAATGTGTAAGTAAGGAAGCATGGTGTATTGGTTATCTTACCATGTGGCATGTAAAGGGTCCTCCAAGAGATAGCAGGTCTTCAGTCTTGATTTAGATGAAAAGAGTGAGCTTGTGTAATCTTTTAATCAAAACTTGGGAAGAATCTGGGTACCAGTATCTCCTATAGTGGCTGGGAAGGTGGCTCAGTGGTAGAGTGCTTGCCTTGCATGCATGAGGCCCTCGGTTCAATTCCTCAGCACCACATAAGAAGAAAATGCCAGAAGTGGGGCTGAGGCTCAAGTGGTAGAGTACTGGCCTACAGCTGAACAGCTGGGGGAGTGCCCAAGCCCAGAGTTCAGGCCCCACAACCGACAAAAAAAAGAAAAAAAGTAACTCCTATATGTATTTATAGCTATTCAGGATGCAGAGACCTGGAGGATCTTGGTTGGAAGCCAGTCTTGGGTAGAAAAGTCTGCCAAGCGTTAGCTTCAATTAATCAGCAAAAATCTGGGTTGGAGGCATGGCTCAGATGGTAGAGTGCTAACCATGAGCAAACAAGAAGAATGGGAATGGAAGCTCTGAGTTCTAGCCTCAGGATCATCATTAAAAACAAACAAAACAACTTGGGAAGAAAATAGGTACATTTAGCTGAAAGTGCTTGTTGCCTATAATATTGCAAGATGCAAGTGCAGGTATAGTGGCGGCAGTGTCCGAATAAGGAAGAGAAAACTCAGTTTAATTTATTCTCCTCTGCCCTTAGGACATGGTCTGGGACCTCAAATATAAGACAGTCCGCTGGAGCTTTGTGGAATCTTTAGAGCCTGCCCAGGTGGTTCAGGTTCGCTGCTCAAGCCTAATGAAGCAGAGCAACATGTATGGCCAGGTGACTGTCCGCATGCACACTCGGCAGGTAGAGTCACTTCGTTTTCCTCTAGCTTCTCTTCATTCTCAGGTTGGGCACCTACCTCTAAAGTATTTATTTGTTTGTTTTTTTCTTGAATTGTTGTGGATGGAACCCAGGGCCTTAAATGTTAGGCAAAGAGTTCCACTACCAGCCATAGACTGTAGGTTCTTTTTTTTTTTTGCGGGGGGGTCCAGTCGTGGGGCCTGAACTCTGGGCCTGGGCGCTGTCCCTCAGCTCTTCAGCTCAAGGCTAGCACTCTACCACTTGAGCCACAACGCCACTTCCGGCTTTTTTCTTTTTGCTTATGTGGTGCTGAGGAATCGAACCCAGGGCCTCATGCATGCAAGGCAAGCGCTCTACCTCTGAGCCACCTTCCCAGCCCTAGACTGTAGGTTCTAAGGAAAGATTTGTCAGTCTTCCTTGCTCTGTCAGTGACCACTTCCCACTGCTAAAGTTAGCTCCACTAAGACATGATAGATATAAGGATAGTCTCTTCCAGCTCCTAGTGTTGACTCTGCTGTTGAGTCCCACCAAAGACCCTCTTAATAAAGTGTTAAGCCAAGTGCCAGTGGGGTGGTACACACCTGTAATGCTAGCTACTCAGATTGAGACCTGGAGACTCTGGATTTGAAGGCAGCCTAGGCAGAGAAGTCCCCTAAACTCCATCTCTAATTAACCAGCAAAATGTCAGATTGGAGGTGTGGCTCAAGTGGTAGGATACCAGCTGTGAGCAAGAAAGCCAAACAAAAAACTTGAGGCACTGAATTCAAGCCCCAATACCAGCATAAAAGAATATCAGTAGGGCTGGGAATGTGGCTTAGTGGTAGAATGCTTGCCTAACATGCATGTAGCCCTTGGTTCAATTCCTCAGTACCACATAAACAGAAAAGGCCAGATGTGGCACTGTGGTTCAAGTGGTAGAGTGCTAACCTTGAGCAAAAGAAGCTCAGGAGCAGTGCCCAGGCCCTGAATTCAAGCCCCAAGACTGGCAAAAGAAAAGAAAAAGAAGGAAGAATAGCAATAAAAAAGAATTAAGTGTCACAGTTGATTAGTTAAGTCCTAAGTTTAGAAATCTGAGGTAATTAAAAACGTTAAAAATTTGTTTTTGTTAAGATTATTTTAAAAATCATGCATTTCAAAAAAAAAAAATCCAGAAAACTGATTATACCAGATTTGTTTTCACTCTCGCAGACTCTAGCCATCTATGATCGGTTTGGCAGGTTAATGTATGGACAGGAAGATGCGCCCAAGGATGTCTTGGAGTATGTGGTGTTTGAAAAACACCTGACGAACCCATACGGAAGCTGGAGAGTACATGGCAAGATTGTGCCCTCATGGGCACCCCCTAAGCAGCCTATCCTCAAGGTAAGGTAGTTTGCACTGTGTATGAGCCCTCAGGCAATGCTTGTGGCATCCTTAGCCACCCTCCTGGGCTCCACCTAGTGGAGATGCATGTTGATGCCATGCTTTGGAAGGGGGTTGTGGCAGGGGGTAGGTAGACATGGGGATGAAGCTTCTGAGAGCCATGGATTTGGTAGGTAACTCAGCCTTTCCTCTTTCAGACGGTGATGATTCCTGGTCCCAAGCTGAATCCAGGGGAAGACTATGAAGAAGCACAAGGAGAGGCCCACAAGCCTCAGCTAGCCTAATAGCAGAAGGATTTCTAAGGCGGAAGCTAGGGTGGTGCAGCTGCTGCAAGCTGAGAGTCATCCACCATCATCAGGCTTCAATTGTTCCCTCTGGTTCTGCTTGAGTCTTTTCATCAGACTCGTCCTCACAACTGTAGCTAATGTCTAGGCCCAGGTGGATGACTGGTATGCACACAACAGCTTTTCTTCTTTCTAAAAGAACTGAATCACATAAAGGCAATATGTTTCAGAGAATGAACATCAGATACCAGCTTTTTCACAGCAGGGACTGTGGAAACAAATTGGCAGCATTCTTTTTCTCATCACAGGGCAGGGATCACAGTTTAAAATAAAACATTTTCAGCATTGGACAAATTTTGGCGTGTTCTGTGTGCTTTTCCTGGTTCAAACTGAGAGTGGAACAGTCTTCTAAAGGCAGAAATGAAGACAAGCCTAATTATGAATGATGTTAACTCTAGGAAATCTAGGCTTGGAAAGAAGAGTGTTTATTAGGGTATCACCTAAGAAAGTCTTAATGAATCAACATTTGTGTATAAATCCAAAGACCAGTTGAATATATATCCAAAGAAATAATTAATCCCTTAGCCTTTGGATTGTATTATTAGCTTTTTACCCTGTTTGGCACTAGAGATTGAACCCAGAGCTTTACATGGAACTCCTAGGTAACTGGTAGTAACTCTACCACTGAACTACATCCCAAGTCTTGTATTCTTTTTGTGGGTCATAGGGCTTAAACTCAGGACCTGGGCACTTCCTTGAGCTTTTTTATTCAAGGCTAGTGCTCTACTTCATTGAACCACAGCTCCACTTGTGGTTTTTAGATGGTTAATTGGATATAAAGAGCCTCATGGATTTTCCTGATTGGGATGCCTTTGAATCATGATCCTCAGATCTCATCCTGAGTTGCCAGGGTTACAAGCATGAGCCACCGGCTCCATCCTCATGCTCTTAATTATCAGCTGCTTCCTGGTATGGCCTTAGAAATTTTGAGAGGAGGTACAGTCAAGAAGGGCTTGGTACATATAGAAATTTCTTCAGGATTCACTTCCCTAATTTACCTCCTGGAAATGAAGATAAGTCTTTCTAGTCCATTATGGGGAAGGCAGACACCAGAGTACAAACTCCTATAGAGTAAAACAGCCCAGCCTCTTTGTACCTTACACTAGGTGGACTGTCAGAAGAAGGATGTGGCATACATGTTCTGTCCTCTAGGCTTGAAAAAGAGAAAGTTTAAGAATCAAGGCTCTGGGCTGGGAATGTGGCTTAGTGGTAGAGTGCTGCCTTGCATACAGGAAGCCCTGGATTTGATTCCTCAGTTCCACATACACAGAAAAAGCCAGAAGTGGCTCAGTGGCACTGTGGCTCAAGTGGTAGAGCACTAGCCTTCAGCTGAAGAGCTAAGGGATAGTGCCCAGGCCCCAGAGTTCAAGCCACACAACCAACAAAAGAAAACAACAAAAAGAAGCTCAGGGACAGTGCCCAGGCCCTGAGTTCAAACCCTGAGACTGGCAAAAAAATAAAAAATAACTCAAGGCCCTATTTTTAAATGTGAGCCTATGCTAGATTGATGAAATCTATCGCATTTATAAGTTAAGCTGGAAAAAAGTGATTTCAGCTGGGTGCTGGTGGCTCACGCCTGTAATTCTAGCTACTCAGACGACAGATCTGAGGATCACAGTTGAAATGAGCCCGGGTAAAAAAAGTCTATGAGACACCTCTAACCACTAGAAAACGGGAAGTGGCACTATGGTGCAAAGTGGTAGAGCACTAGTCTTTTTTTTTTTTTTTTATTGAGCACTAGTCTTGAGCCCTGAGTTTAAGCCCCACAACTGACCAAAACAAAAAGTGATTTCCCTTGTTATGCAGACCCAAGACAGAACATGTATAAGGAGTTTTTGTGTGTGTGTGTGGGGGGGGGGGGGTCCGGTTGTGGGGCCTGAACTCTGGGCCTAGGTGCTGTCCCTCAGCTCTTCAGCTCAAGGCTAGCACTCTACCACTTGAGCCACAGAGCCACTTCCGGCTTTTTTCTTGTTGCTTATGTGGTGCTGAGGAATCGAACCCAGCCCCTCAGGCATGCAAGGCAAGCGCTCTACCACTGAGCCACCTTCCCAGCCCCATGTATAAGGAGTTTTAAGAACATTTCTTTTAAGGTATCATTTAAAATGAGGAATAATCTTTTCTGACATTGTCTTGAGAGTAGAGTGCAAAGAACCTTGAATCAGGTCAAGAATAAGTAACCTAAGCCTTTATTCTCTCTGAAGCTAAGATTTCAGTAAAGCAGCAAATAGATGAGAACTGACTAGAGAAAATGGGTGCTTTAGCAGGAAGTTGGTGGCTCAAGCCTGTAATCCTGGCTACTCAAGAGGCTGAGATCTGAGATCATGGTTCAAAGCCAGCCTGGACAAGAAAGTATGTGAGACTCCTATCTCCAATTAACCAGAAAACTGGAAGTAGAGCTGTGGCTTAAAGTGATAGAGTGCCAGCCTTGAACAAAAAAGCTTGTACAGCATCCAGACCCTGAGTTCAAGCCCCCTGACTGACCAAAAAAAAAAAAAGTGCTCTTGTAACATCTATTGAGTGTGAATTATGGAAATAGAGACATATGTTTATGCTACAGAAGTGACAGCACTAGCCAGGTGGTGGTTCGTGTGTGTAATTCTAGGTCCTCAAGCTAAGACTTGAGAATGGCAGTTCAAATCCAGCCAGAAAAGTCTCCAATTAACCAGCAAAAATGTACTGGAGTGGTAGAGTTCTACCAATGAGCAAAAACACCCTGGTACTATTACAAAAAAAAAAAAAAGTGACAGCGCTGGTGGGCTAGTTCAACTACTCTCATCATGCCACTTAGTCTTAACCCTCTTGGCTTAAAATGTACATCAGTTTATAGCACTACAACCCAAGTGAAGTTTGGTCAGTCAGATCCTATTTGCCTGAGCTATGGATTAAGGTAAAATGAGAAGTGCTTTGAGCAGCATCGACAGCCAGTGTGGAGGGGCCGGGGGAGGTAATGCTCACAGGGTGAGGGAGGCAAATAAAAAGAGCACGCTTAGTGGGCAAACGTTTCATTGATTTCTCTTGAATGCATTAAAACTGCTTCAAATAAGCTATTTCATCCCATTCCCCTGGATCTATCTCAGGGGTCTCTAGATAATCCTAAATAGCAGCTAAGCAGTGGCCGCCAGGGAACCAGGAGATAAGTGCAATTTTCATTTCCCCATGGGATCAAATGGTCCCAGATGTGAAGGGTTGGCAGAAGGCATTTGCAATGTCAACTACAGTTCTGGGCAGAGAATTAGCCAGACTACCTGGAGTCCTATGGCTGCATGCAGTGGGATTATCCTGAGCTTTCGAGCAGGCACTGTTCTCTCTTATCTATCTGCTGCTCCTGTGTTGAAAAAGAAAATCATCATTATGAATAAACTAGAGCCAAAGGCAAAGATTGAGAAGAAAAAAAAATAAAGCATTCTTTTATTCTTTCCCCTCATGGCTTTTCTTTCCCCTCATGGCTTATTGCACAGCAGGGAATGGAGGGGCAACATTGCTCTTTTCAGATAGACCACAGCCAGTGGGGTTTTCCCAGGGTGCACAGTTAGCACAGTTAAGACTCAGAAGCTATGGGGTTAAGTAGTCAGAGCCTTGAACAATATATTTCAGTTAGTGCTATAGAAGCCTAAAGGTAAGCTGGAATGTACAGCATGGGAATGAGGACATCTGGCCCTCAAAAGAGAGTAGTTTACTCCATTCCTCTTCGCCTTTTTGGAAATGGAGCACAGAGTATTCACATTGCAAACTCTGTTTGCTTACTGGATATTTAGTCTTTTTTTTCCTTCTCTCCATTAATGACATCCATACCCATAGTGAGCTATTTCTACTGCCCCTCTCAGCTCTGCCACATTAGCTTGCCTGTTTTCACCCCACACTTCAACTCTCTCAAACCCTAGGACTTCTTTGTATGCTTTATTCCTTCCTCATTTCTCTCTGGGGTCATCTGATCTCAGCATTCTGCTATCTAGCACTGCTTAAGCAGAGTAGACTGAACTGATGGTTGAAAAGAGAGCCAAACTAAAGAAAGCTCCCTAAGAAAGAAGGCTTTGTATTTATACTAGGCCTTTCCAGCCTTCTGGCTTCTAACCTGCCCAGAGTGTTACTCTTTCTTAAGGCAGCAATAGTTGGACTGCTGACTATAAACAGGATCTCCTTTCTCTGACGCCTCTGGGAAGGAGACTTATGTGGACTCTTGTTACCAAGCAAGAACATTGGAGTGGCTCTTGCAAGAGATTCCCCTGGGCTATTGCATTGGTAAAAGAGGGGTCCTGTTGCTGACAGCACTGAAAGGCTAGGAGGAAGAGAATGAACAAGAAAGATCAGCTCTGGAGACTGGTCAGAGCTGGGGTGGGAAGAGAGGGAGATTGCCTTAAAAAGCTAGCAAGAGGCATACTGAGGACACCTGGAAGGAAGAGCTCTTCTTAGCCCAGCGTAGGGGAGGACCCGAAGAAATTGCTTTTCCTTCTCTGTCTCTGATGTCACTTTGGATTCCAGATGCAATCGTGATGTCAACGTGTCCAGTTATCTCTACTTCATCAGGCAAGCAGTGCAGGTATGAGGAGCAATGAAGCTGAAATGGGAGGTTCAGTCAAAAAGTTAAGGTCCTAAAAGGTTTTGCAGACATCGATTTTGAGTCTTTTTAGTTTTCTCTCTACTTTTACATTTGAATTACATGGCTAGCTTCATATAGTAACCTTATAGCCTCTAGTCTAGTTTAGTTTCTTCTTAACAAGTAGTTTTGCTAGATATAGGTAGCTCATGCCCACAATCTTAGTTACTCAGGAGGCTGAGATTTAAGGATCATGGTTCAAAGCCAACCTGGCTAGGAAAGTCTGTGAGACCCTTATCTCCAATTAACTACCAAAAAGCTGGAAATAGTGCTATGGCTCAAAGCTCAGGGACAGTGCTAGGCCCTGAGTTCAAGCCCCAGTATCAGCACCAGAAAACAAAAAAAAAAAAGTAGTTCTTTGATAGACTTCAGAGAAGAGTTGAGTCAAGAATTGTGTTGTTTTCTGTTACTTGTTTTCTTGTATTTCTGTGTGTTGTTTTGGTTTTGGTAGTACTGCGGTTTGAACTCATGGCCTCATACTGTCTAGATATGTCCTCTACCACTTGAGCCATACCCTTAGCCCTTGTATCAAGTAATCTGGATAAGTGGGAAGATTCTTTAGAAGCAGGAGGTCTAGGATTTGTTTCTGCAGGCCAGAAGAAAAACAAGTAAAGAGAAGGTGGGACTTCCCTTGGAATCCATGCTTTTCCCTTCTTGCATAGTTTGCCATGTGTCTTGATCTGGGAACACTAGAACTTGGCTTCAGACAGCTGTGTGTTTGACCTCATGTGATAGAGCTATTGCTCCCAGTCCCAAGGGTAGGTGGGTGGAGGACCAAGTTCTTCATCTTGAGCTTGAGAAGCTACTTGTCCTTGATCTTCAGTTAAGTGGGAAGACTTCTGACCCTCAGCTTCTTGGAGACTTGAATTTGGGGTTAAGTTGGTCCTTGACCCACGCCCTGAAGGTCCTTGTAGTTCAATGACACCTTCTGGTGTAAAGGTACTCCATGGCTCGCTTACCTCAGGGTGAGAGCTCTTGAAGTCTGGAAAGAAGCTATCCAGAGGTCTGTGAACTAAAAGGCATAATGATTGTTCGGGAGATGGACAGACATTTTCTGTTGCAGTTGCTGTTAAAGCCAGGAAGCCAGATTCCTCTGATGGGGCTCTAGTTACTTCCCAAGGACAGATGTCTGCCATGGTGCCCTTTATTTTATTTCCTTCTGGGTCTGTGACTTCCCATTGACACAGCTCTGCTATTCTCCTCATGCTGCTTGCTCCATCAGGGCTGATCTTGGCTTCGTTGTCAGTGTCCAGAGCCTCTTGCTGGATGCCCGATCCTGGGCTTTCCCGGGAGCACACTGTCGCTGACTCACTGCTAAGTTTTGCTGCTGCTTTGGGGGAGCATTCAGCCCCTCTGGATCCTTCCTCTCCTTGCCCTTGTGATCCTCTGTCCTGTCTCAGTCCCCCTTCTCCTTCTCCTTCTGCTGCTCCTGTATTTACCTCCCAAGGACAGATGTCTGCTTTCCTGGCAGAGGGAACCTCTTCTGCTTCCCACGGACATACTTCGGCCATGCTAGCCTCCATGCAGCTTGCTGTCTCAGAACTGCCTTTGCTTCTACTAGAAGTACTTGACAGACTCCCCTGGTCTTGACTCTCCCCAGAACACACAGCCTCCTGCTTCCCGGGGTCGGCCATCTCTGTCATTTTCTGAACTGCCACACCTTTGCGCTCAGGCTTTTCCAGGGCTTTTCCCGTCTCTTGAACTTCCTCCTTTCTATCTTGTTTCGAGGCTCTTTTCTCAGATATTTGCTCAGTTACCTCCCAGGGACAGATCTCAGCCTTGGTGCTACTGTCAGGTTTATATGCATCTAGGACAGGAACATCCCATGGACACACCTCAGCAACCCTGCTCCCAGTAGTGACCAGGTTCTGGGTACTGACTGTAGGCTGGTCAGGGCACTGACTGGCTGGCTGGGAGGAAGATCCCGCTGTTACCATACTCTCCCATGGACAGACAGATTGAAGCTCATTGTTGCTTGTTTTTCCCCCATCTTGAGTAACAACTTCTGCCGTCAAAGCTGGAGCTTTTCTTGGAGTCACGTGCTCTGGGAGGGAGCCTGTCTTTGGGTCTTGTCTCAGATCCCTCTTCTCTGTTACTTTGTCACTCACTTTTGAGGAATGTCCCTCTCCCAGTTGGTTGCCAGTGCTACTGGGCAAGACTGAGCCCTTAGGGGTCTGAGCAGATGGCTCTCTCAAATCTGTGTCCTCCCAAGGACAAATAGCTTTCTGCTCTTGGAGTTTTGCCTCCTGTTTTGATAGACCTCCTTCCTGGGATGTGAGCTCCCTGTTCTCTAGCATTTTATCCTCCTCTCTTGCCAATTCATTCATCTCTTGCTCTATTTCTTTCTTTGTAGCTCCTTCATTTGTCTCCCAGGGGCAGATCTTGACTTTTTCACTGGTGGGAGCTTCCTCCACTTCCCAGGGACACACGTCCACTGGCTTGTAGCCCACATGTGCCAGTTCCTGCAGTTCAGGTTTTGGTCTATCCGTGTGAGGAGTATCTGGATGCTGAGAGAAGCCCCCAGGACTCAAGCTCTCCCCAGGACAGACCACTTCCTGCTTCAGAGCTGGTCTCTCTGGCTTCTTTGGAGCAGGAGCTGCTGTCTGACTAGGTCCAGAATCTGTATCTTGTGTGTCATTTGGAGATTTCCTAATGGCCTCATATCCCAAAGTCTTTTCCTCTGCTACTCCAGCATCTACCTCCCAGGGACAGATCTTTGCTTTCTCAGCTGTCCAGGTATCCTCTATATCCCATGGGCAGATCTCAGTGGCTTTGTTTCCCATACTGCCTGGTCTCTCTGTGTCTTGTGTAGGAAAGCTGCCAGAAGCCACACTCTCCCAGGGGCAGACTGTTTGCTGCTTTTGGTTCTGTGCCTCAGACTTTTTCCATGCTGTTACATCTTCAATTCCTGTTTTTCCAGGCATTTTCTCCTTGTCCATTTGAGAGACTCCTCCTTTTGGTGTCTGTCTCAATGTCCAGTTCTCTGTCTCATCATCTACCTCCCAGGGACAGATTTCTGCTGTGGCAGGTGTTGCTTCCTTTTTCTCTGGCTTGAGCACTGACTCCTGCTGTTGACTTCCTGTTGGTACTGCTTCCACAATTTTCTCCTCCACCTCTCCTAAGATCCCCTTCCTGGAAGTGTTATCTTTATGAAGAAGAGATTCTCCACTTGCCCCTTGATTCAGTGTTTCCTCCTCTCTTCGCTCATCACCTGTATCCCAGGGACAGACCTCTGCTGTCCTGTTAGCAGGCAGCTCTCCTGCTTCCCAAGGACACACTTCCACAATGCCACTGCCCCAACTTCCCGACTGCCCTGGGCTTCCAGAGGCTGGAAGTGACACTGCCATGGGCCCCCGAAAATCTGTACTCTCCCATGGACAGAGAGACTCCAAATTCCCAGCCAGTTTCTGTTCACTCCAGAAGGTTGCTTTCTTGGGGGCTTTCTGCCTTTCCTGAGGGAGCTCCTTTACTTTCTGGGTTAGTGTCCCTCCCTGCCCATCCCTCACCTCTGGGGGACACAGCTCTGCCTTAGTAGTGTTAGGTGAACAAGCCCCTGGACCTGGGGCTTCTCCCTGATGTTTCTCTGTTCTTGTCTCCACACTGCCTACTTCCCCAGACCTGCCCTGCATTCTGTCAGAGTCCTGAGGAGCTGATGCATGGGAGGCACCTCCAGGGTCAGCACTCTCCCAGGGACACACTGCCTCCTGGCCCCTGACCAGCCTCTCTGGCTTTTTCCGAGCAATGACAACCACTCCTCTGGGCTCTGATTTTTCTGGAGCCTTCCCCACCTTATCTTGGGAGTCACCTAGATCTTGTCTTGATGCCTTCCTCTCAGGGCCTCCTTCACTCTCCTCCCAGGGGCAGATTTTAGTTTTGTCACTACTATCTGGCTGGCATGTTTCTGACTCAGTGACTTCCCAGGGGCATACCTCTGCCACCTTGCTATCAGTACTGCCCAGGGACTGGAGGCCAGCATTGGGTAGCTCTTGGCATCCCACAATGGCTTCCTTTGTTTGTTCAGCATGTTTGTCCCCCCAAATTTGCTTCAGTGTGGCAAGTCCTGTTTTACTTGCTCTCTCCACCTTCTGCTCCCCTAGGCCCTGGGCTGTCCTGCCTCTGTCCTCTTGTTCTCTGCTGCCCTCCTGGTGACAGACTTGCAGCATTCTGCTGGTGTGAACGTTCTGTTGGTTCTGGAGGGACTCCTCATCATCGCACGGGGCAAGTGCAGCCTGTTTGCTCACTCCCTTGGGCCGGCCTAAGCGGGGAGATCGGAGAGAAACCCCCATGCCTGATCCCGTAGGCCTGTCCTTCTTCTCAGGACTGCCCTCCCCACCTTCTTTCTCTCTGTATGTGCTCCGAGAACGGGTCAGAGCTTTGATAGCCAGGCCCAGGCTGCGCATGGAACCCTGCTGCACAGGGGTCTTGAGGCTATGGGATTTAGAGATCTTGGGCCTGTCTTCATCCACATCAGCTTCCCCCTGGAAATGCCCATCCTCTGTGTCAATCTCATTCTCCCCAGCACCCTTTTTATCTACTGCAACAGACAGGGCCCTCCAGAGCTTGGCTCGAGCTGGAGCAGAAGAGTGGCCACCTCGCTCTGACCCTGGGGGATTTTCCTGGACCACATTTTCTTTCTTGACTGGCAGTTCTGCATTCTCCCAGGGGCAGATGTAGGTGAGCAAGCTGGGGCTTTGTGGGGCCACTGGGACAGGAGCAAGGACAGGGGTAGGGGTGGGGGCCAGAACTGGGACAGGAGCAAGGACAGGGCTTGGAGTTGGGGCCAGAGCTGGCATCAGAGCTGGAGCCAGGGTCGAGGTGGGAGAAAGCATCCTTGGCTCTCCAAGACAGGCTCCAGACAGAGCCAAGATGGGTGTGGAGACCTGGTGCCTGATAGGTGGGTGAGGTAGCTTTCTCCCAGCTTCCTCACGAAGCCTCCCAGACATATGCGAGCTGTCTATACTGCTGCTCTTGGCAGGAGAAGGTGGGGCTGACAGGGGGGCCCCAGGAGCCCGCTCCAGCCTCCTAGTTGATGGCCTCCGCACTGGGCTTGCAATGGCCAACTCAGCCTTCTTTCGTTCCTCTCTCTCCTTCGCCTGCCGATAGGACTCCTCCAGGTAGGCCTGGCTGGCCACCAGCAGGGCCTTTTCCCTGGAGCCCGTCACCACACTGAGTGACTTCTGCAGAGACGTAGGCCGGGCTCTGGGGAGTCTCTCTCCCACTGTTAAGTTGTGAGCGCTGGCTGACCTGAAACCCAAAGCAGGGGGCCCATCCACAGACTCTTGGCTTTCCACATGAGAAGCTTTCTTGGACAGATTCCTTCTCAGTAGGGAGTTCAGGAGAGGTGAGTCTTGCTCCCCCTGGTCATAGGTGCTGCAGGATTTGTGCAGGGCTGGGGCCCCTTCTGCTTCCTGGATGCTGGAGCTGAGGAGCCGGCGGCGAGAGGAGCCAGGCAGGCTGCTGCGGCCTGGGGAGCCCGAGTCCCGAGAGTGCTGCCGGGTCAGGGACTCAGGGAACTCAGCCAGGTACCTCATGAAGGAGCGGCCCAGCCCTTGGCGTGAGCTGCCCCGCTTCTTAGGCAGGTGAGGATTATTAGCGGCCATTTCCTTGGTCTTACGGACCTCTAGCTGGGCATAGAGCTTCTTCAACTCGTCCTACAGGGCAAGGAGAGATGAAGAGAGCAGAACTGTGGTTAAGGGGGACAGCTGAGATCTGCTAGGCCCTGGTTGTGCTGGTCTCTCCCTCAGGTCTTGTTTAGATCATTTTTCTCTGGGGAGCTCTTTCCCACCAAGTTCTATTCTTTTTTTAAAATATGTATGTATGTATGTATGTATGTCAGTCATGGGGCCTGAACTCTGGGCCTGGGCGCTGTCCCTCAGCTCTTCAGCTCAAGGCTAGCGCTCTACCACTTGAGCCACAGCGCCACTTCTGGCTTTTTCTGCTTATGTGGTGCTGCGGAATGGAACCCAGGGCTTCATGCATGCGAGGCAAGCACTCTACCACTGAGCCACCTTCCCAGCCCACCAAGTTCTATTCTTTCCTGGCTTCTAAAACTCAGAATTTACCACTCTATTCCTGCAAAAGCAGTGTTAACCTGGTTCCAAGCTGGATGCAAGATCTAGAATGCCTTCCTTCTCTAGGGGCACTGTGGAAAATCACCAGCATGAGAGACAGGGAATAAGTCTCAACTGCTGAGCCATGTATACTTCAAAGCTATTTTCTCCACCTCTCTGCATTTTCTATAAAGGGAACAGAAGGCAAGCAGAACTCAAAGGGTGAAGAGGACATGGAAAAATGGGCAGAGACAGCTGGGATAAGGAAGGGCTGGGGCATGTGGGCAACTCCTTTGCCAAGCTGTGGTCAACTCAGGGTCTAAGGGCCCCAGTTGAGTTGAAGGGGATGAACAAATGGCTTCCCAAGATGGCTTCTATGCCTAGGTTTTATAAAACCCAGGAGTCCTGCAGGTATCCTAATTTCTTACTGTCTTTCCTTAAAGTTCCTGTGTCTATAGATGATCTTGGGTAGGAAAACAAGAGGTGGCATAATATCCTTCTAAGTGCAAGTTTGGGGAGGATTTCCTTGCTTCACAGCTTGCCAGATGCAGGGAAAGGAACTTCTGGTGGAAATCCTGGTGGCCATTCACTGTCTGAACTGTCCAGTTCAATAGGTGGCCTTAAGGTCAACAACTGTCTCACTTTGCTGAAGACCAGGGGGTTTCTTAGTCTGTCCCTCATGATGCAGGCCCGAAGCATTTAAGTGTCCACTTTTGACTATGTCTTTAAATTGCCATATGACCTGGACCTCTGGAGTCTGGGCTTTGGCCTTTTGAGGCCTTTTCACTTGAGTAGTCCATCTCCTCCCATGATTACTCAGGTGAGTCATTTGAGGGAAGTGGTAGCAAAGGGTGGTTAGTCTTGAAGGGAGGGAATACTGGAGGGAGAGCAGCGTGCTTGCTCCCTCTACTCAGTCCGTAAAAACTGGTATCAAAGGAGTTGGGGAGGAGGTAGCACCTACCCGGATGTCCCCTGGGTCCAGACTGCGCTCACTCCAGGCTGAGGCAATGCTACTGTTCAGGTAGGATCCCGAGCGCTGAAGGTCCAGCTCATCCTCATATACCTCATCCAAGATCTCTTCCCGGGGAGGTGCTCCTGGCTTCTGGAACTAGAATGTATACAGCAGGGAGGAAGACCCACTGAGTCATCGTGTCTTCCTGCCGACCCTTATTCTCACTTGCCTTATTTATGGAGTGCATGTACTTTCTGAGTCTTCACTCTTTTTCTGATTTGGAATTCCTCTGGAATTTCATTTCCCTTCCTTCTTCCCTCGTTTAGAGACTGAGTCTATGCTACCCTCCTGCCCCTACAGTTCCAAGTCATAGATGGCCATCAGCTCTCCAACCTATTCCTTTGTAACTGCTTCTGAGCAGAGTTTCAGAATTCCATCAGCTGTGTTTAAAGAACTTCCTTCAGTAAAAGCACTATTTCCCTCATTGGGAAACAGGGAGCAACTTCCTTCCCCAACTGAAGTCCTAGCCCCGGGTGCTCAGAACTTTCCTCCTCAGCACTGTCTCCTCTTTGCCCTGACCTAGAGAAGGTGCTGTGGCGATGACAGACCCACTATGCTCTTACCAAGGGGCTGAGGCTTGCCTCATGCAAGAAAATCAAAGGCCTCACCTTAGGGATGAAGATCAGAGCCAGTGTGGCAGTGACTGTGCTGTGGGTGTGGAAGAAGAAGAGGAGGAGGGTCCAGTCTGGGTTCAGGGAGGGAACCAGCACAAACCTGAAAGCCAGAAGGGATGGAGATTATTGATGGTGTAGATGGGAGCAGCCTTCCCACCTTACATCATTGATTCTCACAACCCACCTCTGAGCTGGGCAAGGAGGGGGTACTCGTGTGTGTGTGTGTGTGTGTGTGTGTGTGTGTGTGTGTAAGAGAGATAAAGAGATCGAGAGAGAGAAGGAGAGAGAAGAGAGTCTTGCTTTTCCAGCTTTTTCACTCACACTGGTACTTTGAGCCACATCTCCGGTTCCAGCTTTCTTTTTCTTTATCTGTCAGTCAAGGCTAGCATCCTACCACTTTGAGCCATAGCTCCACTTCCAGTCTTCTAGTGGTTAAATGGAGATAAGAGTCTCATGGGCTTTCCTGCCTGAGCTGGCTTTGAGCCACGATTCTCAGATCTCAGCCTCCTGAGTAGCTAGAATTACAACGTGAGCCACTGGCACCTAGCCAGTTCCAGCTTTTTTTCTGGAGATTAATTGGTTACACACAGCTATCAGATTTATCTGCTCTGTGGCTTCGAACCTCAGATCTCAGTCTCCTGAGTACCTGGGATTATAGATGTGAGCCACAGGTGCCCAGCTAAAAAGAGCACTCTTCTTGCCCTCCTGTAGCTGTGGATACAACTGCAAGGCCCACCTTCAAGAAGTCCTCCCAGATTACTCCACCTCATTTTCTCTGACTGCCTAGCTTACAGAACAGAATTGTGTTCAACACTTTGCTTGGATAGCTCTGTAGATAGATTCTGCCTCTACCCTAGGACCAGTTCACATGAACACACACAGGCCTGTTGCCTGAATGGCTAAAGAGTGCAGAAGAAGTTAGGGAGAAGTGAAAGATATATGGGGAGAGGTATGTTGGGGGTGCTAAGGAGGTGGCTTAGGAGTGGGAGAGGAATTAGAAGTAGGGCACACTTCCTCTTCTGGTAGCTTAGGACCTCCTCACACAGCTGAGACATGGGGTGGGGGAGGAATATGAATGGGACTCCTCTTAGTCCTACAGAAAGGCCTAGTAGTGTTGTCAAATGGGTCCTGGGACAGCCTGCCTCACCTGGGAGATGAGAAGTCATGTCAAGGTGAGAAGACCCACCCCATGACCTCTGCCTTGCACCACCACTATACCTCAGCCAAGGAGCAGGGGCAGATGGACTCATCCTTACCTGGCCGTGTGGAAGGCAGCAGAGAGCAGCAGCTCGTTGTGCAGCGCGATGCCCATGTAGCGTGGCTCATGGAAGGCTGAAGGGACAGCCCGGGTGGCGTAGCACAGGAAGCTGCCCCAGCATAGCAGAAGGATCTCAGCTGTGTGTGTGTGTGTGTGTGTGTGTGTGTGTTGGGAGGAAGAAAGGGAGAGACAGATAGACAGACAGATGGAATACAAACACCACCTTAGCAGCCTGCCTTTTTCCTTTCTGCAGGACATACTGCAGAGTATGGAAACAAGACAGGAGAAGCAGCAAAAAGGTCCCTGGAGGTTCTGGGGGTGGGGGGGTAGGGGGGTAAGAGGGCAGAGGGAGGCTGGGCTCAGAGGAAATGGCTCACCCACAACCATAATGTAATCCCAGCGGTCATGATGACAGAGGTAGAAGTGTCGGCCAGTAGGCGTGTGGCCTCGGGTCACCAGAGGTATGTGCTGGGTGCCTCGCTCCAGGACACCCGCCGTCCACACACACAGGAAGCCCAGCACAAGCAATAGGAGCAGCCCCAAGCGCCGCAGTAGCTGCCCACTGCTCAGGTGTGGCCCCCTCTGGGCAGTTCGAGACAAAAACAGCTGTAGTACTCTGCAAGGGGTAGAGTGTACACAGAAGCTTGGGAGGACCAAGCTGGCCCCTCGCTTGCATTTACCTGACCTGGCCCTCCCATTGTTCACTGTCCCCGAAAAGTTACATGGAAGGGAAGGCTAAGTCTGGGGACAGGCTTGGGAGCACAGGGAAATGGAGCTGGTAAGGATCTGGCCTTGAAAAACTCCATTGTATGAGTTGGGTGACCTAGGGTGAGCAATGAGTGATCGAGGCCTGATCTAGGCCCTACCTATAAAGCTTTAATATGACGGTTCCATAGACGATGGCAAAACCCAGTAGCCGGACCCAGCGGAGAGCAATGCAGCGGAATACACTGGGCTTGAAGTACAGAATGAAGACCTGGTGGGAAGGTGACAGAAAGAGCTGCTCGCTACTGCCCTTATACTCTGTGCTAAGCCCACACTACACACATGATTAATTCCCCTAGCCATTTCCAGACATCCCAGAAAGTGGGACCAACTGCTAGCCACAGACTCACAGGAAAGTAGAGAAGCAAGGATCCAAAAAGGATGGCTTCCAGCAGGACAACTCCAGATGCTCGGATCCTCTGTGAGCCCAGAAAGAGAGAGGCAGGTGAGCAGGGCCATGGGGGGGAGTTGAGCCTAGATGATGGTGTTGGAGGGTCTAGGGACTGTTTAAAAGGATCACTCTGGGCTTCTGCCTCTAACACTAGTTTCATCCTCTACTTACAGCCCACTCCTTCACTCCCACACCAGGCTTTAGCTGTACTGGCTCTAAACATGGCTAAGGCCAAGGTTTTACATGGCTCTCTTGCAGGCTCATGGACACTCAGTCCTGTCTTGGACTTAGATAAGAGTCTAGAAAGGATCTCTATTCTTGCTCCAAGCTTTGGGGCAGATTATACCTGGCCTAAATAGGATGCTCCTATCTGCCCCAGAAGCATCCAGTTAATATCAAACCTGGCTCAATTGTCACTTTTTCCAGAGTGTTCCTCCAGTGACCTCTCAAGCTAGATAACTGGGTCCCTTGCCTGAGCTTCCATAGCAACTGACAGCCACCTCCATCCTTGTGCCTGTCTTCCTATGCTGCCATTTTATTTTATTTTTTGTTGGTCATGGGGCTTGAACTCAGGGCCTAGGTGCTGTCCCTGAGATCTTTTTGCTCAAGGTTACCTAGCAGTCTACCACTTTGAGTCACAGCTCCACTTCCAGTTTTCTGGTGGTTAATTGGAGATAAGAATCTCATGGACTTTCCTGCCTGGCTGTCTTTGAACTGCAATCTTCAAATCTCAGCTTCCTGAATAGCGAAGCTTGCAGGCATGAATCACCAGCACCCAGCTTTGTGCTGTCATTTTAGTTACACGTGTGCTTCTTCCATTAGGCTGAGAGCTCCGGGAACCAAATTGCTTGCTCCTGCATCGCGTTTCTGCAGTGTTTTGTTTAGAGTTGACCTTCAACTAGCATTTGTTGCCTTAAGTCTAAAACCTTCATTTTGCAGGTCAGGTCAGGAAACAGATCTAAGGGGGGCAGGTCACTGTCTAAAGTCACATAGATTTAGAATCAAGACAGGTTTCTAGTGGAGATGGGTAGGGTGTGTGTGTTCAGGGTGGGATGTGGGACCTCCTTGCCTTGCTCCAGCGGCAGCGGTAGGAAACCAGCATGCTCAAGAAGACGGCTAACATGAAGCAGGCCTGGCAGGCCAGCACTGCCGCCCTCAGTGCCGGGGCTTCTTCCACTAGGCATGGTGTTGCGTCCATGCAGCTGGTGCAGCCCTCAGAACATGGCTGGCATCGCAATAGCTTCCCTGAGTTGCTCTGTGGGGACCCAAATTGCCTGGTTGTCTGCGTAGCACTCTCTAACCCTATGAAGAACAAGATGAGCATTAAGAAGAGGCACCTAACCAGATGCCAGCAGCTTGTGCCTGTAATCCTAGCTACTTAGGAAGCTGATGATCTGAAGATTGTGGTTCAAAGCTAGCCTAGGCAGGAAAGCTCATGAAACTCTTATCTCTAGTTAACTACCAAAAAGCTGGAAATGGCACTGTGCCTCAGAGTGGTAGAGCACTAGCCTTGAGCACAAATGCTCAGGGGAGGGCAGGGTAGCAGGAAGTGGTGATTCCAGGTTAGAGTTCATTGGATAGCCAACTTGTATCATCTTGTTATGTTTGGGTTTCTTCTCTGAAGGCAGACTTCCCTTGGCCTCTTATGCTTCTTTTGATCTTCTGTCCTTGCCACCTCCCCCTCCCCCCGCCCCCCACTCTACTGTTTCCTCCCAGGGCTTTCCCCAACCTGCCTGCCTTCTACAGGTCTTCTTTCCTAGCCAGCCTAGCCTGTAACATACCTGCCTGACCCTTTGTCCACTCACTTACCCCCAGAGCCGCTTGCCCCGTAGAATCCAGGTCGGCAGTGGCAGAGGTAGCGGCCAAGGACAAAACCCTGACTCTCCAGGGGGACACACTGTGGGGATGACAAACAACATTTTTTTTTCCAGCCATGGGGCTTGAACTCAGGACCTGGGCACCATGTTTAAACTTTTTTTGCTCAAGATTAGCACTATATCACTTTTTCTTCTCAAGGCTAGTGCTCTACCACAGCTTCACTTCTGGTTTTCTGGTGGTTAATTGGAGATAGGAGTCTCAGGGACTTTCCTTCCCAGGCTGGCTTTGAACCACAATCTTCAGATCTCAACCTCCTGAATAGTTAGGATTACAGATGTGAGCTACCAGTGCCTGACAACAACTTGTATTTCTATAGGGCTTTTCTCTGGAAGAGCTTTCCTTCCCAGAAGTTGGAGGTCACACATAGTACCTTACATATGACTTACGGGTTTACACTAGGGACTCCCATCAGTAGCCTCCATAGTGCTTTCCCTTTATGGAAGTTCTATCCCTATTGTAAGCCTCTTTTCAAAGAGACAGAGTACGGGATAGGTCACCCTTTTGGTGAGATGCAGTAACAAGAGCCTTATGTCTCATTTCCCTGCGCTGAGCTGTTGCTGGGGCAAGAGACTAGGGGAGGTGAGAGCAGGGAGAGGTCAGCTCTGTGGCACGCTTTATGTCTGCATTCTGCTTTGGCACACAGGTGGGTTGAAAAGGCTCCTGCAGAGGAACAACTTCCTCTATCGGGAGGCATCTGGCTCTGGTACAGGACTGCTTTCCCTGGCCCTAATGCCAGGCTAATACCAGGCTGCTGGGATGCCTAGGTCAGCCCTTTATTCCACCTCTGCCCATGGATATTTTCCCAGCAAGGGACTGAGCAGGCCTCAGAGTCTGCTGAGTCAGATCTGTTGTGAGGAGGGATTGGAACAGACACCAGTAGATCACAAGATGGAGTTCACCTTGGGAGATTCTATATCTAAGCCCCTGACTCACCTGGGGAGTTAGGAAACTTGCTATTAGGAAATCAGCTTCTCCTCTTGCCAGGACTACTTTTGAATATGCTCTGCTCCTCACTGTGTACCCAGTGAAGTAAATGTGACTAGATTAAAAAAAGTGAACAGAGAGACAAGAACTCACATATGTAATCTTGGCTCCTTGGGAGGCTGTGATTGGAAGGATCACAGTTTGAGGTCAGCCCAGGCAGAAAAGTTCTGGAGATGCAGTGGCACATGCCTGTTATCCTATCTACAACAGGAAAGCTAAAGATAGGTGGGTGTGGAGTTCCAAGGACAAGACAGGGAAGAAAGCAAGATCCTCCCTCAAGAAAAACTAGTGTAAGGCTGGGAAGGGTGGCTCAGTGGTAGAGCGCTTGCCTTGCATGCATGAGGCCCTGGGTTCGATTCCTCAGCACCACATAAGCAACAAGAAAAAAGCCGGAAGTGGCGCTGTGGCTCAAGTGGTAGAGCGCTAGCCTTGAGCTGAAGAGCTGAGGGACAGCGCCCAGGCCCAGAGTTCAGGCCCCACGTCCGGACCCCCCCCCCGCAAAAAAAAAAAAAAAAAAGAAAAACTAGTGTAAAAAATGCTTGGAAGCCAGATACCAGTGGCTCACGCCTATAATCCTAGCTACTCAGGAGGCTGAGATCTGAGGATTGCGGTTCAAAGGCAGCCCAGACAAGGAAAGTCCAAGAGACTCTTATCTCCAATTCACCAGAAAACTGGACGTGTTGCTGTGGCTCAAGTAGTAAAACACCTGCTTTGAGCTGAAAGGCTCAGAGACAGTGCCTAGGCCCAGAGTTTAAGCCCCACAACCAAAACAAAACAAAACAAAAACAAAAAACCCTGGAAAAAACCAAAACTGCTTGGAGGTGTGACTCAGCTGTGGAGTGCCCATCTAGTATGCACCAAACCCTGAGCTCAAACCCCAGTACTGGTGGGGGGTGGGAAAGAACTGAGTGCAAGCTTAGACATAAAAGGCTCTGGGTTCAGTCCCCAGTACATGTGTGTGTGCAAGTGCACACCTCCCTCCCCCATCAAACTCGACAATGGGTAGTGGGAATCTCTTCTGTATTTCTGAACATATTAGCTCCAAGCATACGTATCCTGAAGAGTAGTGGCCACCTGTGTGTGCAGTTATGCTGAGCACAGTAAGCTGCGGCTTCAGGGTCCTCCCTGACCTCATTTCAGCTTGTGAGTACATGCAGTCAGAGTAATCATGGAGTGGCCAGGTTCCTTGGCCTTCCAGTCTCCCAGTATTGGGCTTGTGGAAGTACCAACCAGTGTTATCCATCATCCCAATGCACCCACATCCTGGCTTTGATTCTGTCTGCATGTAGTCATGGTATGCACTAGTCCAGACCTCTTCAACTTCCTTCTTTGTGAAGAAGGCAGGGTTGGGGAGCCACAGCCAGATTCCCTGAGGTTCCTAGGGAGCTAGGAGAGATGAATACCTTGGGGCTAAGCCATAGGGCTGGACTGGAACTGGTCTTATGAGCCCACACCCGAGTCTCCTGAACTCCTGTCCCACCCAGGCCTCCCTCCTGGAATTGATGGCCATGCTGGCCACTTAGGCCCAAAAGGCGGCATTGCTAAGTGCTGGGCTTCACAGCCATGATGGTGTTCATGATGAGTGTGAAGAATACATGCTTTGTGGAGGAGAAAACAAAGTAGAGAAGGCCCATATAGCCATGATCACAGTACAATAGCTATGGCTGGAGTCACCATTTTTCTTAATGAATGCCTTGCCACCCTGGGAACATGCTCCTGGCAAAACCATCAGCATATAACTGACTCCTATAACCCCTTCACCCCCATGAATGTTAAGTACGGCTGGGCAGTAACTCTGCCCTGCTCCTCCTGGGAGAGTTGCATTCATTACCATCTCGCTCCTGCCTTGGCAGTGAAAGCAAAGCTGTGTACTATGTACCTTGTTCTTACCCCAAGTCCAATTCTGCAGAGGATTATTGTGGGCTGGATATACATATATATATATATATATATATATATATATATATATATATATATATATATATATATATATATATACGTATATACGTATATATGTATATATACACATATATATATATATAAACTAAGTATAAAAAGGGGAAAAACGTTAGACTCTTTCTAGATTACAACAGCCAACACCATTTATTTCAACTAATAAAATAATGGAGTATCATTTGCAGGTCATAAAAAGCCTAGAGCTGTGTTAGCACGAAGCATGTGGTGCAGGGGAAGGAAAGGAGACGATTTACAGAGGATATAGGATCCAGGAGCACTGAATACCAGAACAGAGAGCAAATGCGGGCACTCTGAGACTCCAAAGGGATGGAAGAGGTAGTCGTTTTGGGGTGGGAGCAGGAAGTATAGAGTGAGCTGTGAGGGCCGTCATTTCTAAAAAGCCTGGTGTGTCACCTCTGCCGGTCCCTGGGGATACCCTCAAAGCCCTAAGATGCTGACGTAGGTTTGTCAGCTGCACATGGGAGATAGGAGAGGAGGAGTGAAAGCAGAATCTAGTGGTCCCTCATCTTCTTCATCCTTACCTGGGTGCTGTTGAGATCACACAGGTGTGTGTTGGAGTACCAGCCTGGGCCACTTGCACACTGATTGATGTCCACACTCTGGAGATCTATGTCCATCTGCACCTGGCCTCTAGGACAGTGAATTAGTAGTTAGGGGTTTAGTATTGGATGCCAAGGTGGATATCTGTCCTTGGGTGCTAGACTGTGTTGTAGTCTTGGCAAACTTCAGCATGATAACTGTAGTGTGGGGCACATAGGCATGCCATTTCTCCACTGTCTCTGTGGCAACAACTCCCTCCCCCTCCACTTTTCAACATCTTGTCATTTTCTGGTTTCCATCAATTAGTAGAGGGGAGAGACATGTCAAGAAACCAGGGCTCTGATGATCTCTCTGAAGGGGATTTTCACACTTGCTTGTGGTATGTATACACACACACACACACACACACACACACACACACAGAGCTCAGCTATTAATCATGCTCACTCTACCCAAGTCATGAACTAATCACAGCAAAAGAAGTGTGGAACAGAGAAGCCCTAAGCTGACACTGCCTAGACTAGAAGCTTTCCAACCTTCCTTTGGGCTGAGTGGGGAGAGAGCTGGCAAGCAGCCAGCCTGCCTGCTTGCAGGAAGGGAACCTTTCTGGGAACAATGAATAGGGACACAGAGCTGGCAAGGCCATGTTGATTGCTGAAAGCCTTGCAGTTCTATGTTCATTTACTACCCTCTTCCCAATAGGCTCCCAAATGGAAGTGTCATAAGCTCCTGGCTTAAGACAGACAGAACAGAGGGGCCTGGTCTATGCAAAAATACAGCTATTGGAGCTGGGCACCAGTGGCTCATGCCTATAATCCTAACTACTCAGAAGGTTGAGATCTGAGATGGTGGTTCAAAGCTAGCTTGGGCAGGCAAGTCTATGAGACTCTTATCTCCACTTAACCACTAGTAAAACAGAAGTGGTGCTATGGTTCAAAATGGCAGAACACTAGCCTTAAGTGAAAAAGCTCAGAGACAGTGCCCAGGCCCTGAGTCCAAGGCCCATGATAGGGGAAAAAAAAAAAAAGAAGTCATTGGGAATGTCCCTGGTGATGCAGCCAACTCCTGAACATTGGCTCCAATCTCTTTTTGTGCCAGTCCTGGGCTTGAACTCAGGGCCTTGACACTGTCCCCCCCCCTCCCTCCTCCTCCTCCTCCTCCTCCTCCTCCTCCTCCTCCTCCTCCTCTTCCTCCTCTTCTTCTCTCTCTACTACTTGAGCCAGAGCTCCATTTCTGGATTTTTGGTAGTGTTTTTTGGAAATTACAGTCTTTCACACTTCTCTTCTTTGGCTGGCTTTGAACCATGATCCTCAGATTTCAGCCTCCTGAGTGGCTAGGATTACAGTGTCTGACTGGCTCCAAGTTCTTGACAGAGATTGTCCTTCTGGAATGTCTACAAGGGTCTCTGAGAAGCTTGGTACATGGATTGTCACTGTCAGCCATCCCAAACCCATTCCTCAGACCTGATAGCCAAGACCCCTTCCTGTCTACACACACACACACACACACATACACACATCTGGACACATGTGTATACACTTACATATAAATATATGTTTATATATGCACACCTACCTGTATGCCACACATACATATTCACTCATGCTCACAGACATTCATTCTTGTGTTCAAGCACCCAAATACAAATAGATGCCCAGATAAATACTTGTACATGGATTGACTTGTACACATTATGTACACTTACACCTATATGCATTAACAAATAGTTATAGATTCCCAGAGGTGGCTGTAACTACATACTGCTGGATGCAAATATACACATCTAGGTCCCCAGACATCTACATGTACTTGCTAAATGACCATGCACAGCTGCATAGTATTGTGTCCCTTCTACCCTCCCCCCCATCCCCATCAAACCATCCAAACCCGCACAAGCCCACTTACCTGACCTCTGGACTAAGGTCTGGCTTGAGTCCATAGAAGGTGGCAGTGAGAGTGACCAGCCAGCCAGGACGGAGCCGGCCTTCCTGGCATTCCAGGAAGGGAGGGGACAGCCTCACCTGCTGTATGTCCCCCACATAGCCATCTCCCCGTGGCCACTTGGGACTGTTGAGGCTCCTTAGGTCATTGGTTAGCACCCGTTTCTGTAGATTAGGGTTCTCCATGTCTCCAGCTGGGTTCTCTTCTTGTACCCTGTTCCCAGATAAGTCTTGAAGGATGGTCTCCTCTCCCATTCGGGTGGCTTGCAGGGCCAGCTGTAGGTGGCTGGCCCCTGGTGGAGGGTTAAAGGTCAACAAAGCTCTGTAGGCCCTTGGGTCTCCCTCAGCCACACTGCGGACCAGGGCCTGGTACCACTCCACATCCTCCTCTACACTGGACTCACGGATGTCGTTGGCTTGCAAAAGCATGTTGAGAAAGTTGGCGGCTTGAGTCAGGGTGCCCGCTGCTCTCTGTAGAATTGGGGGAAGTCTTGGCTTTGCTTCTGCCCCATGAGCTTCAAAGCGTTCACTGCAATTTGCCCCCAACAACTGTTGGGCCTCTCCAGAGTACAGAAAAGCTAGGGCTGCTTCAGCCCCCTGTGGGAGCTCCCACGCGGACACCGATCCTGGCTTGGCTTGGGAAGACAGTGGAGGCAGAGAGCGGGGCAACCTTGGACCTCCTAGAGCCCAGCCAGAGAGGAAATAGAAGCCCAGCAGCCCCCACACAGAAGAGCGCATGACCACTGCCCTGGTGCCCATTTCAGGACAGCTCTTGGTCCCCTGGATTCCAGGCTGCCTGGGGGATTTGGTGCTCAAGAAAGGTCTGACAGAGGCTGTCTGCTGTCTAGGGCTGCCTGCATTCCATGTATCTCTTCTCCTCTCTCTCTCTTTCTCTCTCTCTCTCTCTCAGGCTGGCACTGTCTGGCATGCTTTTTTCTTCTCTCTAACGTCATCAGCTGGCTCCTGGACGTAGGTATAAGGGCTTTGCCCCTCCTCTCTCACTGTGGTTCCCTATTTCAAACCCTCTTAATCCTAGCATACCACTCTTCCCCCATCTCTGATCCAAGTCCCAGTCTCTCTCCATCCTCCCCCACCACACATCTGTTTCAGAGAAAGAACAAGGGAGGGAAGGAGAGGGGACCAGTTGCGATCTCCCTAGCCCTCCCTCGCTCTGCCCTCTGCTCCACTAGGAGTGATGGGTAAATCCAGGATGGGGTGCCATAGCAACCACAGATGAGCCCATGCCCCTCTCCCCACCCCCTCTGCTCCACTCGGCCTCCTGGCAGCAGTGACAGCAGGCTTGATAAAGGGCCAGGCAGCATCTCCTGGCAGTCTGCTCTGGGTGCTTGCATGCCCTGACATTGCTGCTTAGCCAGAATCATGATTGGGAATGGTGAGGGTAGGAACGATCTTTAGAATCAGCCTTTGTCAAGACTGAGGCAGTCCCAAGTCTTTTTTTTTTTTTTTTTTTTTTGCCCGTCTTGGGGCTTGAACTTAGAGCCTGGGCACTATCCCCAAACTTTTTTTTTTTTGGGTCCAGTTGTGGGGACTGAACTCTGGGCCTGGGTGCTGTCCCTCAGCTCTTCAGCTCAAGGCAAGCGCTCTACCACTAAGCCACCTTCCCAGCCCCCCCCCCCCCCAAACTTCTTTTTGCTCAAGGCTAGCACTCTACCATTAGAGTCATAGCACCACTTCTGTTTTTTTCTGTTTTATGTGGTACTGAGGAATTGAACCCAGGGTTTTATGCATGCTAAGCAAGCACTTTACCACTAACCCATATCCCAGCCCCCTAGTCTTTTTCCTACACATCATTTCAATGGATTCTGTCCCACAGCCATGTATAATGAATATTGTTATCCCTATTTCATAGGTACAGAGACAGAGACAGAGACTGCCCACCCCCAAGACCTTCGTTCCAAAACAGCTGAAATTACCTAGCAAAACTGCCTCTGTCAGGCACTGATGGGTCATACCTATAATCCTAGCTATTCAGGAGGCTGACACCTAGAGGATCCAAGTTCAAAGCCAGCCTTGGAAGAAAAGTCTGCAAAAACTCATCTTCAATTAAACAGCAAAATGTCAGACTAAGATATGACTCCAGTGGTAGAGCATGAAGTATGTGCATGAAGTTTTAGCAGTACATATGCGTGTGCACATACACACACAGCAGTACTGCCTTTTAACTTGAGATCTTATTAATATAAAAAGTCAGGGCTGGGAAGGTGGCTCAGTGGTAGAGCGCTTGCCTTGCATGCATAAGGCCCTGGGTTCGATTCCTCAGCACCACATAAGCAAAAAGAAAAAAGCCAGAAGTGGCGCTGTGGCTCAAGTGGTAGAGCGCTAGCCTTGAGCTGAAGAGCTGAGGGACAGCGCCTTGGCCCAGAGTTCAGGCCCCACGTCCGGCCCCCCCCCCCCAAAAAAAAGTCATACTGGAGTGTGGTACCAGTGGCTCATGCCTGTAATCCGAGCTACTCAGGTTAGGAAGCTAGGATCTGAGCATCACAGTTTGAAGCCAGGCAAGGCAGGAAAGTCTATGAAACTCTTAGCTCCAATTAACCACCAAAATGCTTGAGTTATGGCTCAAGTGGTAGAATGATATAGCCTTGAGCAAAAAAGCTCAGGGACAGCACTTAGGCCATAAGTTCAAGCCCTACAACCAACACACACACACACACACACACACACACACACACACACACGTGCACACACAGTCATACAAAGCTAACTATGCTACTAATGCAATTACAAAGGTTTTGTTGTATGCCAGCTATGTCCTCTAGCTAAACACTTGATAAATATTGCCTTAAAGTGCTGAAATTTGAACTCAGGGCCTTGAGCTTGCTCAGCCTGTTTGCTTGACTGGTGCTCTACCACTTGAACCACACTGCTAACTCTGCTTTTTGTTGGTTATTTTGATTACAGCCTCAAGGAATTCTCTGCTTGGGTTGGCTTCAAACAGAGATCCCCTAGATTTCAGCCACCTCAGTAGGATTGCAAGGATGAACCACCATCACCTGGCTTCAGTTTTGTTAATTATTATTTTTGAGATGGAGTCTTGCTTATTATATCCATGCTAGTCACAGAGCAATTTCTTGCCTCTGCCCTAATAATGCCTGACTATGTAGAGAAGTTGAGTCATGTATGTTCAGTAATATAGCCACATCACTACATAATTAGGACTCAAATCTGACCGGTCACAAAGTCCAGAGGGGCAGAAAATGTAGTTCTCAGTGCCCAAACATTACCTATTGTAGAATAACTAAGTGAACCTCAGAATTTCTTCTTTTGAGTCTCTAGGTTGTTTTCATAAAAATTTCTTTTTTTGGGGGGGGGGGGTCCTGAAGTCTGGGCCTGGGCACCGTCCCTCAGCTGAGCCTCTTCAGCTCAAGGCTAGAGCTATACCACTGGAGCCACAGCGCCATATCCGGCTTTTTTCTTTTTGCTTATGTGGTGCTGAGGAATCGAACCCAGGGCCTCATGCATGCAAGGCAAGCACTCTACCACTGAGCCACCTTCCCAGCCTTTCATAAAAATTTCTAACTAAAGCACTACCACTGCAGAAAATACATATTTTTCTTCTAGTACTGGGGCTTGAATGCAGGGCCTTAAACTCTCAGTCAATTTTTTCATCCATGGCTGGTGCTCTACCACTTGAGCCATGCCACCAGTCTGACTTTTAGCTGGTTATTTGGAGATGGAGTCTCGCAGACTTTTCTATGCAATCTAGCTTTGAACCAAGATCCTCCAGGTCTCAGCCTCCTGAGTAGCTAGGATTACAAGGCACAAGCCACCAGTGCTTGGCTGAAAGAGTTTTGCTACATAGCTCCAATTGCCCTGGAAGTGAGGTGATCCTCTTGCCTCATCTCCCACACCAGTGCATTCAGCTTGCAGGAATATTTTTTATAAAATCAGCTCAGCAAACAGAAAAATTCATCTTTTCTCAGAGATTAATTTCAGTGTTCTCCCTTCCCCCAGCACTTAGGATATAGGACTGGAAAATTAGGAGAGCAAAGAAAGGAGGCAATCCTTGTCCTATCTTACAAAGATGTTGCATGTACCTCTGTGCAAGTTAAAGCTACCACTCTGCATCTTATGGGATGCTAAGGATGTAACTGGACAGTAGAGGGCGTTGCAAAGCCACAAACATTGCTTTCATAAAATAATTTCTGGGGCCAGAGAGCTTTCCAGAGAGAACTAGGGATGTTGGGAGGTTGGCCTCTTTAGGCCTTGAATGCTTTAGGGTGCTATAGAAAATGTTCTTTTCTTTAGAAACCTGAGTAATATCTGAGAAGTAGTTGGGGAGAGAGGTGCTGGAGAATTACATCCTCAAACAGCTGGTTTTGAACCAAATAACTTTAGCTAAATGGCTCATTGAGATTTAGTTTGTTTCATTGCATTTGAGGAAGGCTGTTAATATCTTTCTTTTCGGGAGGGGATGATATATGAGGTTCAAAATCAGGACCTGTCATTTGCTAGGCAATCTATTACTTGAGCCATACTCAGAGTCCTTTTGCTTTTAGTTCATTTTTTTCAAATAGGGTTTCATGTATTTTCCCAGGGTTGCCCTCAGAGGCAACCTTCCTACCTATGCTTCTTGCACAGCTGAGATCACAGGCACATGCCACAACTCCCAGCTTATTGACTGAGACAGGATCTTGCTAACTTTTTGCCCTGTCTGACCTCCAAGAGCAACCTTTTTGATCTTTGCCTCCAGAGTAGCTGAAATGAAGATGTGAGCCACTGTGCTTGGCTGAAGGCTATTCTGCTTCAGAGAATTAGGGATAGATTTGCATTAGGAACCTTGTAAGAGGTCTAAGGTTGTACCTTCCGTGTTTATGTATCAAAGGCCTACTTCTCTGCCAGGCCACAATCCTTGGTTCTGGAGAGTCAATGAGAACAGAAAGTCAGAATGGCTGGCTTCCTCATAGAATTTAAAGTTTTTAAAAGATTTTAAAGATTTTAACCAAATCACTTATGGGCAATAAAGGAGTGGTCCTCAAGCTCAGTGAAGAGGAAGGGTCCAGGCAAGTAGATCTCCTTGGTGCCATTAGGACAGAGTTCAAAATGAACAGTAAACAGGAGTTTACTAAGCACAGACAGAAGGAAAAGTCTTCCAAGAAAGGGGAAAATGGCTGGGCTTGAGGCTATGACTTAATATTCCAGTGCTTGCTGTGCATATGTGAGCCCTTGGTTAAACCACTAACACTGGGGGAAAAGGAGGGGGTGGAATAGAAGGGAAAATAGCTTCTGCAATGTCCATATATGTGGGAAATGGACACAGTGTTAGTGACAATTAACACTAACACTGAGAGGCAGGGATAAGATCACCCAGGGCCTCATAGACCTCCTTAAGGAGCTTTGTATTTAGCCTAAGAACAATGGGAAAGCAGGAACACTCCTTTGTAAAGGTCTCTCAGGCTGTAGGACTCAGCCTTCTCCTCAATGTGGGTTTAGGCACTTAGATTTCTAAGTTTTGCTGACTGGTCCACCTTCCTTATCCCCTGGGAATCTCCATATCTCCCTCGGTGACAATTGGAATGAGTTTTATTTGGGCTTCTCCTCTTCAGGCTTTCCTCCTTCCCAGGAAGACCTTGATCTTATTTGATCCTTATAGCACCCCTGCCAAGTAAAGCATGTTCTGCATTTTACAGATGAAAACATCGAGATCTAATGGTACTATAGAACAGGTTCATACTAGCTTGTGACAGTCAATTGTTAAAATGTCTGGAATTTTATAGAGTAGTTGTTAAACATAACCACTATTTAAAGTTTAATCATGCAAACTTAGAGGGGAAAGGGGTACATTATAGTGATAGAATGTTTTGTCTAGCAAAATCATACAAGGGGCTGGGAAGGTGGCTTAGTGGTAGAGCGCTTGCCTTGCATGCCTGAGGCCCTGGGTTCGATTCCTCAGCACCACATAAGCAAAAAGAAAAAAGGCAGAAGTGGCGCTGTGGCTCAAGTGGTAGAACACTAGCCTTGAGCTGAAGAGTTGAGGGACAGCGCCCAGGCCCAGAGTTCAGACCCCACGACAGGACCTCCCCCAAAAAATCATACAATAAGTTTATCAAAAGCAAAGGTAATGGAGTTGGAGATTTAGTTCAATGGAAGAGGATTTGACTAGCCAAGTGCAAGGCCCTGACTTTGGTTATCAGTTCTGGAGAACAACAACAACAAAAACAAATACAATAAGCGCCCCAAACCCACTGCTTCCTAATAATGTTACCTGGGCACTTGGGTTATTTATATTCAATGTAGCACATGATTAAACTACCCCATTGTGAAAGATATGTTATAATCCACTTTTTTTTTTTTTTTGGTCAGTCATGGGGCTTGAACTCCTCTGGGCCTGGGTGTTGTCCCTCAGCTCTTCAGCTCAAGGTGGGCGCTCTGCCACTTGAGCCACAGCACCACTTCTGGTTTTCTGGTGGTTATTGGAACTAAGAGTCTCATGGACTTTCTTGCCTGGGCTGGCTTTGAACCACAATCCTAAGATCTCAGCTTCTTGAGTAGCTAGGATTAAAGGTGTGAGCCACTGGCACCTGGCTTACAATCTTAACTCTGTCTAGTAAGGTCAGGTGGATGGGAATAATCAGCCACTGGGCGAGTGCTACAAATCACTGTTTAACTTATTGTTTTACTTATGACTTAGATATAAGAAAGTGAATCGCCTATTGCTGATGGCTCTCACTTGCAATCTTAGGGGACCCAAGTGCCTACTTGGTGCAGACCCAGTCTGAATAGAAAAGTCCACAATGTCCCTTCTCAATGAAATCCTGGTTCATCTACTAAAGTCGTGGGGCCTGAACACTGTCCCTCAGCTCTTCAGCTCAAGGCTAGCGATGTACCACTTGAGCCTCAGCACCACTTCTGGCTTTTTCTGTTTATGTGGTGCTGAGGAATCAAACCCAGGGCCTCATGCATGCAAGGCAAGCATTCTACCACTGAGCCACTTTCCCAGCTCCAATCTAGTCTACTTTTTATCCTTCATAGCTAAGAAGCCTAACAGGCAAATAATATCCAGAGGAGACCTGATCTCAAGAATAACTCACAAAAAGTAGGGCTGAAGATGTGGCTCAGCAATATTAGTGCCTAATAACCAAGGAGTAGACCCAGAGTTCAAACCCAGTAATGAAAAAAATAAAAAAAAGAGGGAGAATGTTAATAATTTCGATTTAGAGTTTATGTTATATAGTTGTTACATTATGACTAGCACAAAATTGAGAAAATACTCTATTTTAGTATTTGAAAACTTTTCTGTTTTATTTTGTTTTTCTTTTTTGGGTCTGGTTGTGGGACCTGAACTCTGGGCCTGGGCACTGTCCCTCAGCTCTTCAGCTCAAGGCTAGCACTCTACCACTTGAGCCACAGTGCCACTTCCGGCTTTTTTTTTCTGCTTATGTGGTGCTGAGGAATCGAACCCAGGGCCTCAGGCATGCAAGGCACCTTCTTAGCCCCTGAAAACTTTTCTGATTTAGCAAAGAAGTCTCCTCCTGTCACACTCCTTGGTAAGGGCTAAACACTAGCCCAGTGGTAGCCCAGTGGTTGAGTTCCTGTTTATTGTGTATGAGGCTCTAGGTTCTGTCCCCAGCACCCCAAAATACACAGAAGAGTTTGGCAAAAACCACAGAAAGCATTCTATGACCATCAGTTATATAGAATTTGCTACTGAATATATTTTATTATTTAGTAATTGTGGTCTGTACGACCTTTCTATCAACACAAATTGTGATCCATTTGTTTATCTCTATATATGCCACACAGTCCCTTTCCTATAGAGAGCTGGTTGTTAAACACATTATCAGGAAACCTTGTTCATGTAGACATTTCCATAGTTGAGTGAATGCCAGGAGGAGATTAATGAAATGATTGGTCCAAGACACATATAGGTGGGACAAGAACTAGCGATAACTGTCAAGGCCAGAGCTATCGTTCAGGAACGATAGCTTCTCGCGCTCTACAGAGTGGACGAGTCGAGGCCTGGGTGCCCAGGAAGTGAAACGCAGGGGTCGAGGCCGGAGACCGACGTGGGCACAAACCCTGCTTAGGGCCAATAGCGACCCGATGCGCGCAACGTCACGCGCAGTGGAGACCAGCGCAGCACGGCCCCGGAGAGGGGCGTGGCCACTTCTCCCGGAAGTGACGCTAGTTCGGGGGACAGTCCTCCGGCGGCGGCGGCGGGCGGCGGCGGCGGCGGCGGCGCGCGGCCTGGGCTCGCGCTGGGCTCCGCGCGCCCCCCGCCCCCCTCTATGAGGAAGAGGCCGCGGCGGCCGTTAGCGTTGTCGCTCCGGGGGCCGCGGCGGGCGGGGCTCCGGCGGGGCCCGGCCTAGTCCCCACCCCAGCCCGGCTCCCAGCCGCCCGCCCTCCCTCCCTCCCTCTCCCCGATGCAGGGGGCCGAGCTCCGGGATGGCGAGGCGGCGGCGGCGGCCGCTTCGTACCGTGTCCTAAGCCGCCTCCTCGGCTATGGCGAGGCGGCCCCCGAGCCAGGCCCACCGCCGCCGCCCCCGAGCCATGGCCCTCCGCCGCCCCCCTTCCTCGCGCGGCCCGGCCCGCGGGGCTCCCGGCCGCCGCAGCTGATGGTGTTCCGCAACGTGGGTCGACCGCCCGAGCAGGAGGACGCGGAGGCGGCTCCGGAGCCGGGAGCCTCGGAACTGCTGTGTCCCCGGCACCGCTGTGCCCTGGACCCCAAGGCCCTGCCACCGGGCTTGGCGCTCGAGCGCTCCTGGGGCCCGGTCGCTGGACTAGAGGCACAGTTAGCGGCTCTGGGGCTCGGGCAGCCGGCGGGGCCGGGGGTCAAGACGGTCGGTGGGGGTTGCTGCCCGTGCCCGTGCCCCCCGCAGCCTCCCCCTCCGCAGCCCCAGCCGCCTGCTGCCGCCCCGCAGGCCGGGGAGGACCCCACCGAAACGAGCGACGCGCTGCTGGTCCTGGAAGGCTTGGAATCGGAGGCCGAGAGCCTGGAGACTAACAGCTGCTCGGAAGAGGAGCTCAGCAGCCCCGGCCGTGGAGGAGGAGGGGGCAGCCGGCTTCTGCTGCAGCCCCCAGGCCCCGAGTTACCTCCGGCGCCCTTCCCACTGCAGGACTTGGTCCCTTCAGGGCGGCTGAATCGAGGGGAGCAGCAGCAGCAGCAGCAACCGCAACCGCCGCCGCCGCCGCTGCCTCCAGGGCCCCTCCGGCCCCACGCGGGCCCTTCTAGGAAGGGTTCCTTCAAAATCCGCCTCAGTCGCCTCTTTCGCACCAAGAGCTGCAACGGTGGCTCGGGAGGTGGGGATGGCACCGGCAAGAGGCCTTCTGGAGAGCTGGCTGCTTCTGCTGCGAGCCTGACGGACATGGGAGGCTCTGTGGGCCGGGAGCTGGACTCGGGGAGGTGAGACCGGGGAGGTGGGAGTCGGGGGAGCTGGCGACAAACTTGCCTTTTTTTTTTTTTTCTGTTAGCATCATCCTAACAGTTCTCATGATCTTTGCGAAGAGGCACACTGGAGGCTAAAGGTGGTGACATCTTGCTTTCAGATCAAGAGCTAATTGTGGAAACAGCTTTCACTCTTAGAGAGTTCACACTCCGTGACACTTCTCTGCTGGTTGGCAATATGCTCTTTGGGAATGACTTGAAACCATCTGCCCACCCCCATCCTGGCCTCACTTTTTTAAGTTTTTCTAAGGTGTCTTGTCTACCGTTACCCCCACAGGGAGGTTGCTGGAAATGGGCCTTGGACAAAAGGCTGGGTGTTGATTACTTTGCTTATTATTATGTTGGCCACCTTGCTGGTTTTTCTGTGGACCTGCACCCCCTTCTTCCCTTCAGCCTCATGCATGCATAGAGGCTAAGGACCGTATGCAGTATAGGCCATCAGTCAGTTGGGTATCTTAAATTTGGTTTTAATGCTTTCCTGGTTGTTTCCCTTAGATGTACTTGCTGTCTAAAGCCTGTGTACTGACCACTGCCTGTGGGAATAGAAAATAGCTTTGCTTGCTCTCTCTGAAGCCCAGGTGAAAATTCTAAGTGTGAGTGAAGTGTAGACATGGGTACTGTAGGCCAGTTAATGAAAATTGGTATTGAGGCCAACTAATGAAAATTCCAAACTTAAACATTAAGGCCAATAAATGAAAGTTCCAAACTTAGACATTGAGGGTTTTTGTTTTTTGCTTGAATTCTTAAAGGGTGGACTGATTTTTGACATTGAATGAGATCAGTAGTATTGGTTTAGAAAGCTGTCAAGTTTCTAAACAACCAAGTTTTGTGTCAGTGAAATGAGACTTCGTTTGATGAAGCTTGCCATTATGGATTTTAGTTCTGAATGGGTCTTAACACCAGGCCTAGTTTTGTTTTTGATGTGGCTTATATGATGAGTTCTCTTTTCTTTCCCTCCCTCTCTCCCAAAACCAAGGCCAAAGAACTGGTAAATCATATATATTGATAACCTTGCTGTGCACTAGAATCACTGGTGGAGCTTTTTGAAAAGGTTTATATGTTTGGAACCAAAAATTTGAATTTTAAAAAGCTCCCCAGTTGATCCTGTAATTGAACCACTTACTCATGGACTTCTCATGGGCATTTTGGTGTTCCAAGAGGCAAGTGTGCACTCAATTTATTTTGTTGCCCTTTCTGAACAGCTGTGCCATGGGTTTCTCTTGGGGATCAGACCAAATCCAAACTCCATAAAGAAATCAATGTGTTGCCCCTTCAGGTAGGACCATCTCTGTTTCCTGATGAACTCATCCCAAGAACTCAGGTCTTAAAAAGTGTGTGACTGCTAAAAAAGTTTGTGTGTGTATGTGTGTGCATGTGCATGTTAGGCTCTGCATTTGGTGATCCACCTACCAGTACAGACAGAATTTTCATCAGACGGGAGTGGAAGGCAGGATTGAAGCTGTGGGTAATAACATAGGATAGATTGCTAATTTTCTTGTGGTTTTCCCTGCCTTTGTTACATAATGACCAGGATTTGGGCTAATATTCCAGAGATGAAAAATATGAGGTGTGGCACGAAATTAGCTGTTACAGCTAGTAGATTAAGAAGAGGACAAGGCATATAATATTATATGATGTTTTGCCTTTGGAAGCAGAATTTAATGGTCATTGGCGGCTGCTCTGCCACCAACCCTCACACTAAGCACAATACAGATTTTTGCTGCAGAGGAAATTGGGCTCCACTTCTGCAAAGAAGCTTAGTTCAGGGCACTGGAGAATTACATTTTTTGGTCCAAGGGCTTTTTCTGATGAATTGGAGAAGAGCTAGGCATTTGTGTGTAAACGTTTGGCTGACTGGTATTTGGAGGCAGCATGTTGTATAAAGAATGTGAAAGTCTAGATTCTATTTAGAACTCCAACATTATCTATGAGATGGAGGCCAAATTTGTCTTTATATGTCCCTGTTTCATCCATAAAATGGGAGAAATAGCTATCTTGTTCCTGTTCCTATAGAAATAGAATGAAGACAAAAGAAATATAGATGGACTATTTTGTACCTTTTGGAAGAGAAGTAATAAACCTAAATTGGTAAATTTTTTCTGTGCTTAGGATTTGGTGCTACTTGTTAGCTTTTCCACAGCTTACTATGTGCCAGTCTTGCTGGCAGCCTCACAGCTGTGAGAAGCTTGGTAAATCTGGCTAGGGTGGGTGTGATTTTTGTGGATCTGTACCTCCACCTAAGTCTGCTGTGTTGAGAAAAAGGATGAGTTTGGATTTTTAGCTTAGTCGCTTGATTGGTAGGACCTGGGAGCAGTGAGAAATTTCAGTCTTTTGCCAAAGGGTGTGTGTCTTCCTCCTTATTGTTGGTTGGAGTTAATTATGGGCCTCTGCTGTTCTTGCTGTGTAATTTGAGCATTTATAATAACCTCTAGGCATAATTCTCAACATCTGCCTTTACTGCCTACCTTTACCACAGCTAGACTAGAAAGTACTTCTAGCATTTTATAATACTTAGCATTTCCTATATTTAACACTAAGCAAAACTTGACTTCCCTTCACCTGTTCTTGGGTCTATCAAATGGACCTCTTGGATAGATATTACTGAGTCTTAAAGGAGTATAAGTTAGCTTAGAGAACACTGTTTTTTTTTTTTTTTTTTGTTTTGTTTTTGCTTTGTTTTGGTCATGGGGCTTGAACTCTGGGCCTGTGCACTGTGCCTGAGCTCTTCAGCTAAAGGCTAGTTAGTGCTCTAGCACTTGAACCACAAGTCGCTTTGGGTTTTCTGGTGGTTAATTGGAGATGGGCTAACGATCCTCAGATCTCAGCCTCCTGAGTAGGATTACACGTGTGAGCCCCCTGCCACACCAGGCTTAGAGAATGCCTTTTAAGTGAAGTAAGAAATGAGCCTGCCAATTAATCAGGTTTCTATTCTTAGGAACTAGGCTAGGCCTTATACCACACATATGTTGTAATTCAGAGAACTGGGCTTGATGCCTGTGGGCCTCAATGTAATATAGAGCTTTGCTATTTCAGGAAAAGCAGTGGACGTCCCTTGTCTACTTCACATATGTTGAGCTGGTTGTCTTCCTTTGGATTTGGTGAGAAACAGCATGATATGCCCTTGAATTGTCATACAATATACACTTGGTTGGGAATAGGTGCCTTTTTCTCTTTCTCTTTTAAAGACTTGTTTTTACTGAATTCAACCATTGAGGCTATTACTGGCAGTCTTCATAGTTCTATGATGATTTTTACAGGCTATATTGGCATCAGTTTGGGACTCTGCTGTCTTAGACCTGTCATACAGGAGAAAGTTTTTTTTGGGGGGGAGGTTCCGGTTGTGGGGCCTGAACTCTGGGCTTGGGCACTGTCCCTCAGCTCTTTAGCTCAAGGCTAGCACTCTACCACTTGAGCCACAGCGCCACTTCTGGCTTTTTTCTTTTTGCTTATGTGGTGCTGAGGAATCGAACCCAGAGCCTCATGCATGCAAGGCAAGCTCTCTACCACTGAGCCACCTTCCCAAGCCCCAGGAGAAACTCATTTTTAAGTGGTACTGGGGTTCAAACTCAGAGCTTCATGCTTGCTAAGTAGATGCTCTGCTGCTAAACCATGCCTCTAGCCATGTTTTGTACTTGTTATTTTTGACATGCACTTGGACTACAATTTGCCTATTATTTAGACTGCCTGTTGCTACTGAGATGACAGGTGTGCACCACTGTGTCTAGCTTCCCTCTGTTGAGAAAGAATCTTACAAACTTTTCTGCCTTGGATGGCCTGGAGCTGTGTACCTCCAGTATACTTTCCAATGACAGTCACACTTCAGTGAACCCAGCTAGGGTTAGGGGAGGGGTCTCACAAATTTCTGCCTGGCCTCTTAATTGTGATCCTTCCATTCTCAGCCTCATAAGAAGCTAGGATTATAGGTTTGGGCCATTGACACCCAACTCAGAAAGTTTTTCACTGTTTCTGTGGGTCTTGAGGTCTATAGGAGTCTTTTTATGTTAGAGCACAACATGCTGAGAGCAAAATAATTTTATGGCATGGTAAGGAAGTCCTGGCCGTTTGGGTTTTGGGTCTACACTCTGTTGATCTTTTTAACTGTCTTTCCACAAAGTAGTTGTGGTTGGCAGCTCTCTTAGAACTAGCTCCCGGGCTTTAGAAATTTCTAACCCTTTGAGTCTTGTGCCTTTCACATCTCAGTACTTTCCCAGCCAATGTCATTCCTAAGGTTTTATGACTTGGACTGAGCCTCTTGGCTTTTCCCTGGTGGCTTTTCCCTGGAAGTTCCTTCTATGGGTTCTTTAGCTGGTTTAGGGTGGCATTTTGGATCTGACCTTGCTGCACAGATGTCTGTGTATTGGAACTAAAAATGAACACATGGTTTTTGTGCCTGTAGCACATGGACAGACACTGCCTTATGATGTGTTGGAAATGGCACAGGCTGCTTGACTTGGCAGTGTGTTCTTAAACAAGGGCAAGAGGTACATTGAGACCCTAAGTCAACCAAGTATTTGGGCATCCTAGTTTGGAAATTACTTTGGAAAAGACTATGTATATGTCTTAGGACATCAGTAGAGAGGATCTATGGTCAAGAAAGTGGAAGGCATTACTATTTTATTGTTTATATTTTTTGGAATTTGAAAACTGACAGTGGTTATATCTATGTGGTATTGTCCTATCTAATCTCATAACTGCTTTTATCTTATAAATCTTGTTGCCAGACAGTAGAGATGAACAGAGGCACAGACAATGACACAAAAGGACTTCTAGCCTAAGTCCTTTGACCTCATCCCAATCTACCACTGAAATGTTTCTGCTGCTAAGATACAAGTGGCCCACTGGCAAAATTATAATGGCTTAACTTTGTACTCGCCCATTGTCAGAGAGATGTGGGGAGGCATTAATAACATGGGTATGTCATACAGAAGATTAGTTTAAAATATTTATCTGAAGCTGTATCACTCACTCGTGATGCTCTCCAAAAAAGTTTTGCCTTCCAAAAAATCAGTTTAGAATAGGCTTTTATCATTCTAGATGTTTAATATATACAAAAAGATATATAAGATATATGTACATGAAAACAAATACAAACCTAGGTCTTACAATTAAGCTTGGCATATGTTTAGAATATTATGAGTACCTTTGAAGACCCCAGTGTTGCTTCCTGATTACATTTAAATTTTCCCTTAGATAAATGAAATGCCACCCTCAATTTTCAATTTTGTGTTAATCATTCATTTTTTCCCCCTCTTTTTTTCTTTCCGGTCCTGGGGCCTGAACTCTGGGCCTGGTGCTGTCACTCAGCTCTTCAGCTCAAGGCTAGTGCTCTACCACTTGAGCCACAGCGCCGCTTTTGGCTTTTACTGTTTATTTGGAGGAATAGAACCCAGGGCTTCATGCATGGGAAGCAAGCACTCTACCACCTTCTCAGCCCCCCTCCTCTTTTCATAGTCATTTAGATTTTTTTACCCCCACAAATAACTGCCAGTAGAATGCTGCTTTGGGTGTTTAGTTAGGCAGCATTTCCTTGAAGAGAGAAGGAAGTACAGGTATTTATTATTAGCCTCTCAGTCTCTTAGACCTTTTACTTCTTCGCTTCCAGTTCTGAAGCACCCTTATTTGCCAAGAAAAACCATCCTGGCACGCTAAAATGGCTCTGCCTGAGTTTAGATTCAGATGTTTTTCTTTTTCTAGAGCCTAGGAACTATGATTTTTCTTCTTCAAAATGTCGGGGGTGGGGAGAAGATGAGCTGAAGTGAGAAGGCCTCCGCAAGATGTGTGCATTTGGGTACTGCCGTTCTTCAGTGCTTGGCACTGGAGAGACTCGTCCTCAGCATGGGCAGATGGCAGAGTAATGCAGCTTCCTTTGAAAAGAGGCAAACAGCCAAATGGCTGAGGTGTGAACCTTTTCAAAGGCCAGTGCTTTGGTTTCTACTTGCTGAGTTTAATGTACCCACAAGTTATCGTACAAAACTCAGTTTAGAAGCTTTTTAGTGGTCTTAAGGTTGATGTTCAGTGGAATTTATATTCCATTTTAGCCATTTGGATTGTTGGCACCAAGCTGCAATCAATCAAGAACTTTTATAAACAGAGGGACTATGTTTGTCTTGTTTGTATATAGTGCTGTGGGTGTGGTGTTCAGTGTATGCCATTAGATCGCTCAAGCCTCAGCATGACACAGGGTGTGAAGACTGGTCAAGAGAAGGGAACTCACCAGTGTTTCCTTCTGAGGAACGTGCGGTTTTAGAATTTTGTTTGCATTTTAAGGAGCTCAGATGAAGCTTTTCTGAAAGGTAAATAAATACACAAACATCTTCTGAAGCCAAATAACTTTAAAATAGGATTTCATTTTGGATTTTTTTTCCCTCTTGATTGGTGCAATTGAAAGCTAAGACAGTTTACCTTCTATTTAGTCTTTTGGGTGAGAATCTTTTTGGAAGTTGAGCCAACTATAATGTATGTAGTCAGGAACCACATAATTATAGTTATAATGCTTGGTATCAGTCAATTGTAGGTTGAGATTTTTTTAAAGTCTGGTTGATTGAGGTATCATTTAAATGCCATAAAATTCAGCTCTTTCGGGTGTCTAGTTCTACTAATTTTGACAAACTTATATAGTCTCCAGAACTACATCGTTGAGCATGTAGCCTATTTCCATCACCTCAATATCTTTGCCTTAGCTGGGTCCTAGAGACCTGTAATCCTAACTATTCAGTTGGCTGAGATCTGAGGGTCGCAGTTTGAAGCCAGCTGGGGCAGAAAAATCCATGAAACTCTTACCTCCATTAATAGCAAAAAGACAAAAGTAGAGGTATGGCTCAAGTGTATATGTATAACAACAACATTGAGCAAAAGAGCCAAGCAAGAGTGCGAGGCCCTGAGTTCAGGCCTTAGTATTGGTACAAAGAAAAGGAAAAAGATATTGCATTGTGATTTTTGCATTGTAGTTAGGTGGAGGGGTTTTTTTTTGTTGTTGTTGTTTAGTTTTTTAGGTTAGCATATTTTTGGGAAGAATGGAGTAACGTCTTTTTCATTTCGTGTGTGTGTGTGTGTGTGTGTGTGTGTGTGTGTGTGTGTGTGCGCGTGCTGAGGCTGGGCACTGTCTTCGGTGTGTGTGTGTGTGTGTGTGCTGAGGCTGGGCACTGTCTTCGGTGTGTGTGTGTGTGTGTGTGTGTGTGTGTGTGTGTGTGTGTGTGCGCGCGCGCTGAGGCTGGGCACTGTCTTCGGTGTGTGTGTGTGTGTGTGTGTGTGTGTGTGCTGATACTGGGGCTTGAACTCAGGGGCTGGGCACTGTCCCTCAGCTTTTTCGCTGAAGCCTGGAAAACTGCCACTTGAGCTACAGCTTCACTACCAACTTTTTTGGTGATTAATTGGAGATTAATTGGAGTCTCAGGGACTTCTCTGCCTGGGCTGGCTTCTCAGATCTCAACCTCCTGAGTAGCTGGAATTACAGGCATGAACCACTGATGCCCTGGCTTCATTTCTTTTTATTTTCTCTGAAATGCTATTTGAAATTTCTACAAAGCAGTCTTTGGTGTGTAATCAAAGGTATAGTTCCTGGAGCAGCATTAAAGAGGAGTCAGAGTGAGAGGTATGTGACTGAGAGAGGAAGGGATGTGCTTGGGTGCTAGGCAGAGCCTCTGTCCTGGGAATGCTTAGCCAGGGCTTTGGCCCAGTTCTCCGGGCAATGAGCAGAAATAGTCTTCTGGTTGAAGGTTAGGTGTCTTGTATTGCCCTTCTCAAGTCTGAATATGCTTTCTGGTTTTACCAATTTCTTTGGGGACCTCTTGCTCTTAGAGGTGGACCCAGAAGGAAAGCTATTGTTTCAAGTGCCTAGTCAAGTCTGGAGCATTTTTCTTGGCTCCCAAATGAAAATCAACTCTATCTGACTCTCTTTCTCTTGAAATGGACTTGCTAATTACCATTCAAGGTGTTCTACTTTTTTAATGTGTTGAATTTAGAGAGATTCAAAGGGATTTCTCACTGCTTTGTAAGCTGGTGAATTTGGTAGCCAAATCTATTTAAGGAATTGCTTTAATTATTCTCCTTTAAATTTTAGGCTTTATCACAAAAAGTGTTTCTGACAATGACTGGAGTTTTGCTTTGTTTTTCAATGCATCTGGAATTGAGTTGTAGTAATTTAAATGCATACATGTTCATTTCTCCCTTTTATTCTATTCTTACTCCCCAGGAAACCCAGATTGACAAGAACTCAAAGTGCCTTTTCTCCAGTCTCCTTCAGTCCCCTGTTCACAGGTAAGGATGATGTCTTTCTCTTTCTTTTGACATCTGAGTGTTTAGAGACCTGTCAAGAAAACACTTGCAGATGCCTCCCAGGGGAGCTTTGAGCATGTCTACAGTAATTTCCCTCATTAGGGTGAAGCTATTTTTATGGTGTAGAATGTCCTCTGGACTTTCGGTGCTTTGTACCAAGAGGTATAGTCTGCTTGTTGATGATTGACTATCCCTAGCAGTTATATAGTGCTTAGTTTACAATCATCACATATAAATTACAAGTAGAAATTATAGTCTCACAATGCATTAAAGACTGTAGAAGTCAGCTGGGCACCGGTGGATCACGCCTGTAATCCTAGCTACTCAAGAGGCTGAGATCTGAGGATCACGGTTCAAAGCCAGCCTGGGCAGGAAAGTCCTTGAGACTCTTATCTCCAATAAACCACTAGAAAACCGGAAGTGGCGCTGTGGCTCAAGTGGTAGAGCACTGGTCTTGAGCTGAAGAGCTGAGGGATAGCTCCAAAGCCCAGAGTTAAAGCCCCACGACCGACAAAACAAAACAAAACAAAAAAACAAACTCTAGAAGTCATATTGTTCCTATCCTTACTTCCAAAGGAGTTCATAGATTATCTGATAAAAATGATCCATGTGGGGATGGGAGGTTGGCTCAGGGATAGAGTGCTTGCCTTGTATGTATGAGGCCCTGGGTTTGATTCCTCAGTACCACATAAACAGAAAAAAGCTGAAAGTGGCACTGTTGCTCAAGTGGTAGGGTGCTAGCCTTGAGCTGTAGAGCTGAGGGACAACACCCATGCCCAGAGTTCAGCCCTCACGACTGACAAAAAAAATAAAAATAAAAAAAATAAATTCATGAATAGCTGCTCTTTTTTTTTCTTTTTTCTTTTATCTTTTTGTTGCTTGTGGGGCTCGAACTTGGGTTGCTGTCCCTGAGCACCTTTGCTCAAGACTAGCTTTCTACCACTTTGAGCCACAGCACCACTTCTGGTTTTCTGGGGGTTAATTGGAGTAAGAGTCTCACGGACTTTCTTGCCCAGGCTTACTTTCAATCTTCAGATCTCAGCCTTCTAAGTAGCTAGGATTGTACGTGTGAGCTACGAGTGCCCAGCTCATGCGTGTGTGTGTGTGTGTGTGTGTGTGTGTGTGTGTGTGTGTGCGCGCGTGCACGCGTGCGTGCGTGCATGTGTGCATGTGTCTGTCTGTCTGTGCCAGTATTTGAGTTTGAACTCCAGACCCTGAGCTCTTGCTCTGCTTTTTCATTCACAGCTGCCACAGCTTCACTTCTAGCTTTTTGCTGATTAATGGGAGATGGACTCTCATGGACTTTCTTCCCAGGCTGGCTTTGAACTGTAGTTCTCCAGGTCTTTCTCTTGAGTAATTAGGATTACAAGCACAAGCTATCAGCCCCTGGTTTATCTAGTCTGTCTCTTCTTTCTGCAGCTTGAACTCACTGTCCCTGAGCTTTTTTGCTTGAAACTAGCTTTTCACTCCTTGAGTCACAGCTCCCCTTCTTAACTAGAGAATAAGAGTCTTAATTGGAGATAAGAGTCTCATGAACTTTTCTGCCCAGGCTGGCTTTGAACTGCAACTCTCAGATCTCAGCCTCCTGCGTAGCTAGGATTACAGGCATGAGCCACTGGTGTCCAGCTTATCTGGTCTATTTTTAAGACTTCGGGGCATAAGGGATTACATGAGCGCTTATCTTACCTATTTTAGGGGCTAGCAGTTCTTGCAGCTGTTAGCATTCTTCATTCTATCTAATTTAAGTCTTTCCTCTTCTAGCAAGGAACACAGTTGCTAAAGTAGGAAAGCTGTTGAATGTCCTCTGAGTAATGGATAACTACTTTCTCATTTTATGGCAAACTGTTTCAGAGGGAGACCTTCTGTTCTGTTCATAGGATATGAAGCTCCTGATTAAAAAAACTATAGGAAAGAAGGTCTTTTTCAAGTTACCTCAAGTCTCAGAAAGTTAAATTCTCCTTAGTTGTGACTGAGAAACTACTGAAAAACAATGTTAATCTTAGCTGGATGTGTTGTCACACACCTGTAATTCCATACTAGGGAGTTTGAGGCAAGAGGGTATAATGTGTCCTCTAAAGAGGTGATCGAGCTGCATGTTGGTGGCACATGCCTGTCACCCTAGCTACTCAGGAGGCTAAAATCGGAGGATAACAGTTCAAAGCCAGTTAGGGCAGAAAAGTCTGAGAGATTCCATCTCCAAAATAACAAAGAGCTGGGATGAAAGTGTGATTCAACTGATAGCACACCAGTTGTGATCAAGCAAGCCAAGTGAGCAAGCAAGCCAAACAGCAGCTTGAGGCACAGAGTTCAAGCCCTGGAACTGGCAAAAAGAAAAAGTGAAGCCGGGCGCTGGTGGCTCACACCTGTAATCCTAGCTACTCAGGAGACTGAGATCTGAGGATCACAGTTCAAAGCCAGCTCGGCAGGAAAGTCTGTGAGACTTTTTTTTGGGTCCAGTCATGGGCCTGAACTCTGGGCCTGGGCGCTGTCCCTCAGCTCTTCAGCTCAAGGCTAGTGCTCTACCACTTGAGCCACAGTGCCACTTCTGGCTTTTTTTTCTTTTTGCTTATGTGGTGCTGAGGAATCGAACCCAGGGCCTTATGCATGCAAGGCAAGCACTCTACCACTGAGCCACCTTCCCAGCCCCGAGACTCTTTAATAAACCACTAGAAAAATCTGAAGTGGCACTGTGGCTCAAGCGGTAGAGCGCTCACCTTGAGGGATAGCACCCAAGCCCAGAGTTCAAGCCCCACAGCCGACAAAAAAAGAAAAAGTGATTAGAAGGATTATGATTTAGGAATGGGCATTTCAAGGAAGATGTTAAGCATGTCAGTGAGTTCTGTCATCATGTCGTCCCATCTCCCCTCCCCTCCCCCCACCCCCCTGCCCCAACCTGTATAGATTGTGCTGTGCTGGCTGTGCTGGCTGTGCTGGCTGTGCTGTCAGGACTAATGAGTTTGTATCTGTATAGACATTGATTGTAGTAGAAAATGTGGCTGCTGTTCTTACTCCAGACCTAGGATTTCTTATCCTTTTGGCCACATGTCTTTCTATTCAGTAATTATTTTCTATGTAAATTTGTAATTTCAGGTTCAGACTCTTGAATTACATTTTTTTTATTGACTTGACCAGTCTTGAGCCTGCTTATAAGTTTTTTGCTCATAGTTTGTACTCTACCATTTGAGCCATACCTCTAGTCCTTGAATTACATCTTTTTCTTTTTTTTTTTTTTGGGTCCAGTCTTGGGGCCTGGGTGCTGTCCCTCAGCTCTTCAGCTCAAGGCTAGCGCTCTACCTCTTGAGCCACAGCGCCATTTCTGGCTTTTTTCTTTTTGCTTATGTGGTGCTGAGGAATCGAACCCAGGGCCTCATGCATGCAAGGCAAGCACTCTACCACTGAGCCACCTTCCCAGCCCTTGAATTACATCTTTTATCTAACTGCTACACCTCCAACCTAGAACTCTAATATGTTGGGAGACATTTGTCCATGCCTGTTGCACTGCTCAGGGCAACAAGGTCCTTGGTTACCAAACCGTGTGATGAGTCCAACCAGCTTCCTCAAGTGGTGACTTTGAAGAAAGCTTTTCTATTCATTTGTTTTCCTCAATGTTGGGATTCAAGCTCAGCCTAGGGCCTCATACATAGACACTCTACTACTATGCCTCCAGCCCTCTACTTTTACCTTAATCAGTGTTTAAGACCTTTGTGAAACTATGTATTTAGATTCTGAAAACCTAGCTCCTGGTTATAGAGATATTAGACACTTCATTGCTTCAATTGGGAAGCATTAAAATACAGCTAAGAGCTAATTAAACCCTGAATATGAAAAAGGTATTGGAAATCACACAAGGGCTAAGTTTGAGAAGTTCTGTGTTTTGACCTACAGATGAATCCTTCCAAAGCAAACCTGACCACCAACCTGTGATAATGAAATACCCTTTATTTTCTGGTGATTCAAATTAGGGTCTAGATGGCATGAATGGTAAGAACATATGGGTATATGGCAGAGAACAGACTGGATGACATGCTGGAAAGTCAGGGAAACCATGTGCCATCTCCACCAAGTTTCTTTGTGGAGCTTCCCCTTAAGTTTTGACTTTTAGCTGATTATGGAAATTAATTTTTAGGGTTACAAGTGTACTTTCAGACTTTGTAACCTCAGCTATTAAGAACTAACTGAAGCTGGGCGCCAGTGGCTCACACCTGTAATCCTAGCTACTAAGGAGGCTGAGATCTGAGGATCACAGTTCAAAGCCAAGACAGACAAGAAAGTCCGTAAGACTCTTATCTTCAACGAACCACCAGAAAACCGAAAGTGGTGCTGTGGTTCAAGTGGGAGAGCAGTAGCCTTGAACTGAAGAGCAGAAGGACAGTGCCCAGGCCCAGAGTTCAAGCCCTACAACTGACCAAAAAAAAAGAAAAAGAAAAAAATTAACTCATATGTTATAGGTAGATACTTTTTACAGGTAGATACTCTGGAAAGCCCTCCGAGCTAACACGAGGAAACTTCGTGTGCATTCAGCTTTACCCTGCAGTTCTTAACACTTTGTGGCAAAGCTGTTTCCATGGCATATAACATGCTACTTGCCTTGCTCCCTAAGGCAGAAATTGGTTTGCAAATACAAATGATATTGTTTCATATGATAAAAAGGTTCCTTGTTCATGGTTACATCTCTAGTTTAAGGTAAATCAGTGACAGAACATATTAGATGGGTTTTCCACTGTCAATCCTAAAGAACCTTTTGGCCCATCTGGGCACCCGTGGCTCACACCTGTAATGCTAGCAACTCTGGAGGCTGAGATCTTCAGGTATACTCCATCTCCCATTAACAAAAAGCTGGCTGGAGGTGTGACTCAACCTGAGCAAGTGTGAGGCCCTGAGTTCAAGTCCCAGTACCAGCCATAACCTAATAAATAAACATTGGCTCTTAACAGGGCAAAGGAATGAATGATAGAATTTTAATTAGTGTTCAGGGTGATTCTAGCCCTAGGAAGTATTAGATTTTTGGTGCACTTTGAAATTGTAGACCTCTAGCCTCCTTTGTTTGCCCTTTGGTTCACTTTGCTTTTGCCCTCAGCTTTGGACAAGGTGCTTCTGTAACTTGCTTTCTCTGTGAATCCCTCAGGTGAAACAGTGTCACTTGTGGATGTGGATATTTCTCAGCGGGGCCTGACCTCTCCACATCCTCCAACTCCCCCTCCTCCTCCAAGAAGAAGCCTCAGCCTCCTAGGTATAGTCTCCTTCCTCCCTTTTCTACCAGCTCACCTTAATAGGAGGGTAAACTCTAGGGACTTACTCTTTTCTAGGAGCCAGACAGGCTCCTGGGTTTTTAATGATGGCCCAATTATTTCCTGTCCCTTTCTCAGCTCCCCTGTCATCGTCCTAGACAGTTAAACCTGCATGCTGTAATGTTTACTGTTCATATGTTAATTAGCTTTATACTCATCTTGCCCTCAATCTACCGCCACAAATATCATTACTCTACTGCTTTCTAAGCAAAGCTAACCAGTTTTAAGTTGTATAAAACATAGGGTAAAAGTCAGACCACTTTGCCCCAGAGGGCAGCCCAATAATCCTCCCATTCTTTGCCTTCACTTCATTCTGTGCACATTTTTATGACCCTTTGCTTTTGTTCTCTCTTCTAGATGATATCAGTGGGACGCTGCCTACATCAGTCCTTGTGGCTCCGATGGGGTCTTCCTTGCAGTCTTTCCCCCTACCTCCGCCTCCTCCACCCCATGCCCCAGGTTAGCTTAGCTTAGAGGCAAGACTTGTCAGAATGGAAGGACGGGAGAAATCTATTTATGGAAATAACTTTTAAGAAAGCTTAAATCTTTCCCCTTGGCTGGACTAGAACTTTGAACTGAGGCCGAGAACTATTTTTTCTAACCAGTTTCTCGGAGATGAATCTGATTTTTTCTTGGGATAAAAGACTACTGAATTTTCCATGCCTACTGCTGACAGTGCTTTGTAGTCTTTGAGTAGCTGTTACTTAGGAACCTGCCTTACTCTTAGGATAGTGAAGAGGTTTAAGATGTTGCTGGTTTTCAAAGCTCTTTGATTTTTCTAAGCTTTTAGTATTTATTGCAGCCTTGTAAATAAGTACTAAGCATTTAGTAGCCCATACCTACTTTGCCAGCCTCCTGTACCCAGGGAATAAAATGAACAAAGTCAGTCCATATTGTTTCTACTTGCCTGGCAAAATCATTACTCTCCATGGGCAAGTAAGCGAGTCACTATTTCCAAGGCTGCTTTACTGGCACTTCACTTCTAGGTGGGAGAAGTTGGAATCGCTCTAGGCTGGTGAAGTCCCTGAAGTAGTCACCTTAGTCAGGTTAGTGAGCAGCTCCCCTACCTCTTTTCTGGGGTTAAATGCCCCCACCCATCCTTCACAGCTTACACGAGCCCACACAGCTTTTTGTTCCAGCCCATTCAGCTCTTTCCCACTGCTTTGGCTTCTACCCTTTCCAGCTTAGCTTCTAATGCCTTTCCCCTCTTCAGTTAGCATCTCTTTTTGGGGGGAGTGTTTTGCGTGTGGGTGGGAGCAGTGATGGTGAACAAGTAACTTTCACTCTCTTGCCCTGTAGATGCATTTCCCCGCATTGCTCCCATCCGAGCAGCTGAGTCTCTGCACAGCCAGCCCCCTCAGCACCTCCAGTGTCCCCTCTACCGGCCTGACTCAAGCAGTTTTGCAGCCAGCCTCCGAGAGTTGGAGAAGGTAAGTCATTCCTGAACACTGGCAGGTACCATTTCTCCTGTGTTTTGAGTTTTGAACCCAGGCTCTCATTATTTTTAGAAGTAGTTTCCTTGCTTCCATATTTACAGTGACAGAACAGTATTTTTTACTCCACCAGAGATGTAATAAAACTGAGTTTTGGAGCCAGGCACCAGGCCTGTTAATCTTAGCTACTCAGAGGCTGAGATCTGAAGATCAAAGTTTGAGTTAGCCTAGGCAGGAAACTCCATGAGACGCTTACCTTCCATTAAGTACCCCTCCCCCCCCCCCCAAAAAAAAAAAAAAGACAAATGGAGCTGTGACTCAGGAGGTACCTCACTAGCCTTGAGCAAAAATACTCAGAGATAGCACCTAGGCCCTGAGTTCAAATTCCAAGACTGGAGCCAAAAAATGTAATTAAATTCAGAAATGTTTAAACAGTCCGATTTTGTTAGATTAACCCAGTTAACCAGAAAACCTAGTGTTTTCTTCATAGTCCCTGAGTAATAAAATGTAAAATTAGTCTTTTTTTTTTTTTTTTTGGTCATAGGGCTTGAACTCTGGGCCTGGGCGCTGTCCCTCAGCTCTTCAGCTCAAGGCTAGCACTTTACACTTGAACCATAGCTCCACTTCCAGCTTTTTCTGCTTATGTTGCTGAGAATCGAACCCAGGGCCTCATGCATTCAAGGCAGTCACTCAATCACTGAGCCACCTTCCCAGCCCATGAGTCTTTGTTACCTAGAGGAGTAGAAGCATAGTTGGGAATCTTCTAATGGCTTTTACATACTCACATGTCTTAGAGAATGGGGGTTCCCCCTGGTGAGACAGATTGTGCTGAAAACTTTGACCTTCTCTGTTCTGTTAACTAGTTGGCTGTTTCCTGTCTTTGATAGTGTGGTTGGTATTGGGGGCCAATGAATTGGGAAGATGCAGAGATGAAGCTGAAAGGGAAACCCGATGGTTCTTTCCTGGTACGAGACAGCTCCGATCCTCGTTACATCTTGAGCCTCAGTTTCCGGTCCCAGGGTATCACCCACCACACTAGAATGGAGCATTATAGAGGTAAGAGGTATTGCTGTTGTTAGCCTTCTTCCCTCTGTGGTATTTGACTTTTTCATGGGAAGGATTGTTTTTGGTTTTTTTTTTTTTGGGTCTGGTTGTGGGGCCTGAACTCTGGGCCTGGGTGCTGTCCCTCAGCTCTTCAGCTCAAGGCTAGTGCTCTACCACTTGAGCCACAGTGCCACTTCCGGCCTTTTTTTTCTGCTTATGTGATGCTGAGGAATCGAACCCAGGGCCTCATGTATGCAAGGCAATTGCTCTACCACTGAGCCACCTTCCCAGCCCTCATGGGAAGGATTTACAGGAATGGAACTAGAAATTGGGGATGGGGGGAATTTCATAGGCTCTTTTTGTTTTGTTTTGTTTTGTTTTGGGTTTTTTTGGGTCGGTCGTGGGACCTGAACTCTGGGCCTGGGTTCTGTTCCTCAGCTCTTCAGCTCAAGGCTAGCGCTGTACCACTTGAGCCATGACGCTACTTCTGGCTTTTTCTGCTTATGTGGTGCTGAGGAATCGAACCCAAGGCTGCATGCATGCGAAGCAAGCACTCTACCACTGAGCCGCCTTCCCAGCCCCTCATAGGCTCTTTAATGTTTACATGGGCTCTAGTTTTAGTCACTAGAAAAAATATTGGACCCGGGCTCTGATGGCTCACAACTATAATTCTAGCTATTCAGGAGGTTGAGGTCTTAGGATCATGGTTCAAAGCCAGCCTGGGCAGGAAAGTCCATGAGACTCTTACCTCCAGTTAACCAGAAAACTAAAAGTGGTACTATGACTCAAAGTGGTAGAGCGCTAGCCTGAGTAGAGAGCGCTCAGGGATAGCATTCAGACTCCAAGTTCAAGCATGACTGATGGAAATTTTTTTTTTTTTTTGTCAGTCATGGGGCTCAAGTGGTAGGGTGCTAGCCTTGAGCTGAAGAGCTGAGAGACAACACTCAGGCCCAGAGTTCAGCCCCCACGATGTATAATGCTAGCTACTCAGGAGGCTGAGATCTGAGGGTCGTGGTTCTAAGCTAGCCTGGGCAGGAAACTCCATGAGACGTGTATCTCTAATAAACTACTCAAAAAAGCCAGAAGTGGCACTGTGTCTGTCAAGTGGTAGAGTGCTCTCCTTGAGCAAAAAGAAACTTAGGGACAATGCTGAGGCCAAGTTTAAGCCCCAGGATGGGGGAGGGGGGTACCAAAAATGAAAAATTCATGAAGAGCTATGTGCTGGTGGCTCATGCTTATGATCCTAGCTACTCAGGAGGCTGAGATCTGAAGACTGAGGTTTTTCAGCCAGCCTGGGCAGGAAAGTCTGTGAGACTCTTATCTCCAATGAAACATCAAAAAGCCAAAAGTAGAGGTGAGATGTGACTCAAGTAGACCGTTAGTTTTAGGCCAGAAAGCTCGGGGACAGTGCCTAGGCCCTGACTGTAAGCCTGGAACAAAAAGAAGCTCAGGGACAGTGCCCACCCCTGAGTTCAAGCCCCAGGACTGACAAAAAACAAAAAGCAAAAACCCCAAACAACCAGGGAGACTGTTACCTATTTTCCTGCTGTTCCTTAAAACCAAAGTCAAACAGACAAAACAAATACAAAACAAAGTATTTCAGAGGGAAGCTGTTTGTTAAACTTATGAAAATGATAAATGACTATATTTTGAGAATGATGAATATCTGGTCTTTAGGTTCCTGATGGTATAAAAGCTTTCTGAATTACTTCTTTCTCTACTTACTTCTTGTTGAAAAAAGCTTTTCTCCCTTGAATAAATGGAGGCCTTTCTGTTGCCAGTTTGCAGTGGGACATTATTCTTTATCATTTTAAGTGATATACTGTAAGAATAGCTAGAGGTTTGAAATTGCAGTTACGCCGGGCACCAGTGCCTCACACCTGTAATCCTAGCTATTCGGGAGGCTGAGATCTGAGGATCATGGTTCAAAGCCAGCCTGGGCAGTAAAGTCTGTGAAACTCTTATCTCCAATAAACCACCAGAAAACCAGAAGTGGCGCTGTAGCTCAAGTAGTAGAGCACTTGCCTTGAGCTGAAGAGCTGAGGGACAGCACTTAGGCCCAGAGTTCAAGGCCCACGACCCACAAAAAAAAAGAAAAAGAAAAAGAAATCTGTGGTTACCTGGAGTGATTAGTATACTTCCTTTGTATCTTTTTTTTTTTTTTTGCCAGTTCTGGGGCTTGAACTCAGGCCTGAGCACTGTCCCTGAGCTTCTTTTACTCAAGGCTAGCATTCTGCTTGAGCCACAGTCCCACTTCTGGCTTTTTCTGTGTATGTGGTTCTGAGGCGTCAAACCCAGGGCTTCATGCATGCTAGGCAAGTACTCTACCACTAAGCCACATTCCCAGCCCCTTTGTATCATTTTTTGTGGGTATTCTTTTGGAATCTAGTGCTTTTAGCTTTTGAAGCTTTCTGGGTTGTTTGTTTTGATTTTTAAGTCATGAATGTTCACATTTCCTTCTGGCTTGGTATTCTGAAGTTTGAGTAGGGTCTTTTGTTTTTTCAAATGCTAGTAGAGACTTGAACTCAAGGCCTTGAGCTCCTGCTCAGCTTTTTCACTCACAACAGTCATTCTATCATTTGATTTATGCCACTAGTTCCAGCTTTTTTTTTTTTTTTAATTGGTCTTGGGGCTTGAACTCTGGGCCTGGGCGCTGTCCCTGAGCTCTTCAGCTCAAGGTGAGCACTCTACCACTTGAGCCATTTCTGGTTTTCTGGTGGTTAATTGGAATTAAGAGTCTCACAGACTTTCCTGCCTAGGCTGACTTTGAACCGTGATCCTAAGACCTAGCTTCCTGAGTAGCTAGGATTACAGGCATGAGCCACTGGTGCCTGGCTAGTTCTAGCTTTTTGATGATTAATTGAAGAGTCTCAGATTTGTCTCCTGGCTTCAAACCTTAATTCTCAGATTTCAGCCTCCTGCATAGCTAGGATTTTAGACTTGAGCTTAAGATAGCAATGTAGTCACATGTTGAGACATAGGATTCTAGAAGTTATACCCTCATGGAGGATGAGGTGCTGGATTATCTCTCCATATAGCTTAAGCTGGCCTAGAACTCATTGTGTTGCCAAGGTTGGCCTTAAATGCTAAATCACCCTACCTTAACTTCCCAAGTGCTGGGATTATAGATGTGTATCACCACAGCCAGCACTTCTCATCTTTCTAAAGTTTGTAGCAACGTGTGATGGCACATGTCTATAAATAGCAGCTCCTCTACAGGTGGAAACAGGAGGATTTTAAGTTTGAAACCAGCCCAGGCAAAGGTAAGGGAGACTGTCTCAAAATATTAATTAATTAATTGATTAAAATGGCTGGGGATTTAGCTTAAGTGATAGAGTTCTTAATATATATGAGGCTTTGAGGTCAATCCCCAGTACCTCCATAAAAAAAGTATGTTTTAAAGAAATTCTTGCCGAGAGCTGGGAAGGTGGCTCAGTGGTAGAGTGCTTGCCTTGCATGCTCGAGGCCCTGGGTTCGATTCCTCAGCACCACATAAGAAAAAAAAAAGAAAAAAGCTGCAAGTGGCACTCTGGCTCAAGTGGAAGAGCACTAGCCTTGAGCTGAAGAGCTGAGGGACAGCGCCCAGGCCCAGAGTTCAGGCCCCACAACCGGACCCAAAAAAAAAAAAAAAAATTCTTGCCAAGTGTTGGTGGTTCACACCTGTAATCCTAGCTACTTAGGAGGCTGAGATCTGAGAATTCTGGTTCAAAGCCAACCTGGGTGGGAATGTCTATGGGACTCTTTTTTTTTTTTTTTTTTTTGCCGGTCATGTGGCCTGAACTCTGGGTCTGGGCACTGTCCCTCAGCTCTTCATCTCAAGGCTAGTGCTCTACCACTGGAGCCACAGCGCCACTTCTGGCTTTTTCTGTTTATGTGGTGCTGAGGAATCGAACCCAGGGCCTCATGCTTGCAAGGCAAGCACTCTACCGCTGAGCTACCTTCCCAGCCCCGTCTATGGGACTCTTATCTCCAATTTACTACCAGAAAACCCAAAGTGGCACTGTGGCTCAAGTGGTAGAGTTACTCACTTTGAGCTGAAGAGCTCAAGGACAGCGCCCAGGCCCAGAGTTCAAGACCCATGACTGACAAAAAAAAAAGAAAACTCTTTGTGGTGGTACTATTGTTTGAACTTAGGGACTCAGGGCTTTGTACTTCCTAGTCAAGTGCTTTACCACTGAGCCATATCTCCAACCTTCACATTGAGATATGTTTTGCTTTTTGCTTTTTGCTCAGGCCTGGATTTCAGTCCTCCTATTTTATACTTTTTTCTGTAGCTCCCAAGACAGACTTACGCCACTAGACCCAGCTTCTTCTTTTGATTTTTTTTTTTTTTTTGGGTCTGGTCGTGGGGCCTGAACTCTGGGCCTGGGTGCTATCCCTCAGCTCTTCAGCTCAAGGCTAGCGTTCTACCACTTGAGCCACAGTGCCACTTCCAGCTTTTTTTTCTTTTTGCTTATGTGGTGCTGGGGAATCGAACCCAGGGCCTCAAGCATGCAAGGCAAGTGCTCTACCACTGAGCCACCTTCCCAGCCCCAGCTTCTTTTGAAATGGAATCTCTTGAAATGTTTGCCTGGGCTGCCCTTAAACCTGGATTCTCCCAATCTCAGCCTCCCAAGTAGCCAGGTTATAGGCATGAGCTACCATGTCCATATTAAAAGTTTTACTTCTTAACTTTACATTTCAGGAACCTTCAGCTTATGGTGCCATCCCAAGTTTGAAGATCGCTGTCAGTCTGTGGTCGAGTTCATCAAGAGAGCCATCATGCACTCTAAAAATGGGAAATTTCTCTATTTCTTGAGATCCAGGGTTCCAGGTAAGGCTGTCTGTAAACTTGGTATGATCCAATATAGTATCAAAATTCTCCCTGCTTCCAAAGGCCACACTTAAGCTTTTTTTCCCTAGTGGTTAAGAAAGCATTCTTCCCCACAATAAAGACAATTTGCCCCATGAAGTTTAGAATGTGTTTTGACTTTAAGTATCACTATCTCACAAGATTATGACATTTGTGAAATGTATGTAATCACTTAATCACAATAAAAAATAAAAATTAAAAAAAATTTAAAAACCAGGCGCTGGTGGCTCACGCCTATAATCCTAGCTACTCAGGAGGCTGAGATCCGAGGATCGTGGTTTAAAGCCAGCCCAAGCAGGAAAGACCCTGAGACTCCTATCTCCAATAAACCACCAGAAAACCAGAAGTGGCGCTGTGGCTCAAGTGGTAGAGCGCTCGCCTTGAGCCGAAGAGCTGAGGGACAGCGCCCAGGCCCAGAGTTCAAGCCCCATAACTGACAAAAAAAAAAAATTAGGGCTGGGAAGGTGGCTCAGTGGTAGAGTGCTTGCCTTGCATGCATGAGACCCTGGTTCAATTCCCCAGCACCACATAAGCAAAAAGAAAAAAATCCGGAAGTGGTGCTGTGGCTCAAGTGGTAGAGCACTAGCCTTGAGCTGAAGAGCTGAGGGACAGTGCCCAGGCCCAGAGTTCAGGCCCCATGACTAGACCCCCCCCCCCAAAAAAAAAAAAAAAATTAAAAAGCATTCTTCCTAAAGTGCAGAGGCTAATCTCCTGCCTTTGTATGTTAATCCTGCAACATACTTAGCTTCTAATAAATTTGAGAAAACAGCTCCCACCTGATGTCCAGGCATCATGTAAACATTTAAAATTCTACAATGTCTTCTTGATGATCCAGGCATCTCAGCACTGCATGCAAGAACAATGAGAGTGTTCTCAGTTCATTTTCTTTAAAAAAAAAAAAAAATTGGGGGCTGGGAAGATGGCTCAGTGATAGAGCACATGCCTTGCATGCCTGAGGCCCTGGGTTTGATTCCTCAGCACCACAGAAGCAAAAAAGAAAAAACCCTGAAGTGGCACTGTGACTCAAGTGGTAGAGTACTAGCCTTGAGCTGAAGAGCTGAGGGACAGCACCCAGGCCCAGAGTTCAGGCCCTACGACCAGACCCCCCCCCCCCAAAAAAAATGTTGTTAACTATTGATGTGTCATACAAGGGGCCACCATTTCATAAGTTATGAGTACATTTCTTTTTTTTGGATAATGTTATCTCTTCCTTTATTTTCCCTCAATTTCCCCCTCCTGTCTCTGCCCACAAGTTATATAGGTCATTTTTCACTTTGTATACACTGAATAGCATGATTGCTTCTTAGTGGGGGAGAGAGGGGTCAGTCATGGGTGTGAACTCTTGGCCTAGGCGCTGTCCCTCAGCTCTTCAGCTCAAGGCTAGTGTTCTACTACTTGAGCCACAATGCCACTTTCAGCCTTTTCTGCTTATGTGGTGCTGAGGAATCAAACCCAGGGCCTCATGCATGCAAGGCAAGCACTTTGCCACTGAGCCACTTCCCAGTCCTCATGATTGCTTTTGTTCATCCTTTCTGTGACCCCTGTAACCCTCCCAAAAGGAAAAACACCAAAAACAAAAAAGGCAAAAACACCACCACCACCAACAACAACAACAAAACCCCCAAAACATCTCAGGTCATTTTCTAAGAAGCAGAAAGGTGTATGAGGTGTTCACCAAAAAGGCAATGGTGAGTAAATGTCTAGGAGGCCAGATTCATTCTTTGTTAGGAGGTATCTGTTGTATCTGTTGTAGGGTTGCCCATATTGTGATAAACTTGCCATCTCTATTAGTTTTTTGTTTTGTTTGTCGGTCGTGGGGCCTGAACTCTGGGCCTGGGCGCTGTCCCTCAGCTCTTCAGCTCAAGCCTAGCACTCTACCACTTGAGCCACAGTACCACTTCCAGCTTTTTCTGCTTATGTGGTGCTGAGGAATCCAACCCATAGCCTCATGTATGTGAGGCAAGCACTCTACCACTGAGCCACCTTCCCATTCCCAGAATCTGCTTTTCTAGCCCTGAGAAAAGAAAACTGACAAGCACTAGATATTTGTAGGAAACCAATAACTTAAAATGAGAATTTTAGGCCAGGCACCAGTGGCTCATGCCTATAATCCTAGCTACTCAGGAGGCTAAGATCTGAGGATTACAGTTTGAAGCCATCCTGGGAAAGAAAGTCTGTGAGACTTTTTTTTGTGTGTCTGTTATGGGGTCTGAACTCTGGGCCTGGGCACTGTCCCTCAGCTCTTCAGCTCGAGGCTAGTGCTCTACCACTTGATCCACAGTACCACTTTCAGCTTTTTCTGCTTATGTGTTGCTGAGGAATCCAACCTAGGGCCTCATGCATGGGAGGCAAGCACTCTACCATTGAGCCACCTTCTCACCCCTGTGAGATTTTTATCTCTAATTAATCTCTGACAAATGAGAAGTAGAGCTGTGGTAGAGCACCAGTCTTGAGCAAAAAAGCTCAGGGATAGCACCCAGGCCCTGAGTTTAAGCCCCAGGACTGGCACAAAAAAGAGAGAGAGTAAGGCACTGGTTGTTTATGCCTGTGATCCTAGCTACTCAGGAGGCTGAGATCTGAGGATCGAGGTTCAAAGCCAGCTCAGGCAGAAAGTCCATGAGTACTCACCTTGAGCTGAAGGTCTAAGAGACAGCAACCAGGCCCCAAGTGTAAGCCCCATGACTGACAAAAACAAACAAACAAACAAAAACTTTATACTTTTTTATTAAGTTAAATTAAGATTAATAAACAGTATGTCAAGAAGTTGCTCCAAAAAGGAGTTGCTGGGGAACCTCAGGCAGAACATCAGAAACATGATTGAACCAGGTGATATGAATGTTTTATATCTCAGGTGATTCAAATAAGGCATGACAGGATGTGAACTGTATTAATTCTCACTTCATTTAGTATTTGCCTTAGTACTGTCAACACAGTTGGATCTCATGCCATTAACTTGGTTGAAGGGAAAGTTAGAATTCTTCCTCATAGGAAATGACTGCCTAGCAGTTCATGAAGCTTGTGGATTTGGGAGGTATTTAATAACACCTTTATTTTGTAATGTAGTATAAAAATTAAGCCATATCACTGCCCTCAAACAGCTGGTAGCCATAAAGAGGGGAACAGTAGGAAAACAAAGGCAAGAGCCATATATAGTACCAACCATGGTGGTGATTGACAGGGGCATGGTAATCAGCTGCTTGTGAGTATGCTGTGTAACTCAGAGAGGAATCAGGACTCCGTAGCATCTCTGCTTTAAGTATTAAGAGACTAGAACCTTGGACTCCTCACAATTCATTTTATTTCCCAAATGTATTCTTTCTGTCTACAGAAATTTTAACTAACGTTCTTATATTATAAAAAGACTAGGGCTGGGAAGGTGGCTTAGTAGTAGAACGCTTGCCTTGTATGCATGAGACCCTGGGTTCAATTCTTCAGCACCACATAAGCAAAAAGAAAAAAGCCCGAAGTGGCGCTGTGTGTGGCTCAAGTGGTAGAGCACTAGCCTTGAGCTGAAGAGCTGAGGGACAGCGCCCCAGGCCCAGAGTTCAGGCCCCACAACCAGACCCCCCCCCCCAAAAAAAGACTACTGTTTATTAGGTAACTGTTATGCTAAAAAGTTGGTCAGATACTTATTTTTGCCAATCCTAGAGCTTAAACTCAAGGGCTGGGCACTATTCCTGAGCTGCTTTTGTTCAAGGCTAGCTGCAGTGCCACTTCCAGCTTTTTCTGTTTATGTGATACTGAGGAATCAAACCCAGGGCTTCATGCATGCTAGGCAAGCACTCTACCACTAAGCACATTTCCAGCCTTTGGTCAGATTCTTGATCATTACTTTATCACAGAAAAAGATAGCAGTAATCATATTAAAAAATTTGAACTTGTTGGCACTTGTGGAAACTACATGAAGAAGGTAGAATATGTTTATTAGTATAGTGCTGTCTTTTAAGACCTATGTTGAGTGTCATAGGTAAGATATTTCTTTGCAAGCTGGGCTTTGGTGGCTCATACCTGTAATCCTAGCTACTCAGGAGGCCGAGATCTGATAGGATCATGGTTTAAAGCTAGCCTGGGCAGGGAAGTCTGAAAGACTATTATTTCCAGTTAACTACCAGAAAACTGGAAGTAGTGCTGTGGCTCAAAGTGGTAGAGCACTATCCTTGAGCAAAAGAGCTCAGGGACAGTGCCCAAGCCTGAGTTCAAGCCCCACGACTGACACCCCTTCCCCCCCCACCAAAAAATCACACTTTAAATTGGATTTTTTTTTTTTTTTTTTGCTGGTATTGAGACTTGTACTCAGGGCCTGGGCACTGAGCTTTTTCACTCAAGTCTAATGTTCCCAGTTGGGAACCAATAATATATGTTGTAGAGCTGAAAAGTATTTCTAGCAAGGTTCTGGTGGCTCACACCTGTAATCCTAACTACTCAAGAGACTGAAATCTGAGGGTCATGATTATAAGTCAGCAGGGTCAAGAAAGTTTGTGAGATTCTCATCTCCAGTTAACCACCAGAATACTGGAAGTGATGCTGTGGCTCAAAGTGGTAGAGCACTAGCCTTGAGCAGAAGAACTCATGGAGAGTGCCCAGGCCCTATATTTGAGCTACACACAGACACACAAACACACACACACCCACAAAAGTGTAGAGGAGAACAAGTTCCTTGAGTGTGAAATGTTGTAGTAGTTATTTTGCAAGTGGAAAATGAGCCCTTTGTGGAAAGACTTATGCAGAATGTATATATAAAGAAGCCCTCTCCCTGGACTCTATTCATAAGGAAGTTGTAGTTCGCTTCATCGTTCCCTCTGAATATTCTTTGTTTTCATTCTTGAAGGACTGCCGCCAACTCCAGTTCAGCTGCTCTATCCAGTGTCCCGATTCAGCAATGTCAAATCCCTGCAGCACCTTTGCAGATTCCGGATCCGACAGCTCGTCCGAATAGATCACATCCCGGATCTCCCACTGCCTAAGTACAGTGGGGTTGTTTAGATTGGGGAAGGAATTGGGGTGGATTACAAATAGCAATGAGTCCTGCAAGCTGCTGACACAGGCAGAGGCTGGCCTAAAGTATTCACAGGCAGTATACTTTCATTTTTCATGTGTCTTAACTCTAGAACTGTCACACTGAAGCTGAAAGTGGAGAAAGAGAGTTTATCAGCCCTTTTTGTGGGCCCCATGGAGAGCAGAGTAGGAGTGGTAAGAGAGAGAGAGAAAAATGTAATGAAGGAGAAGGCAGGAATTTTGTTAGGTTGACATAAAGTCTTTGGTATTATGTTAGTCATAGAGGAATGAAGAAGAAAGAAGAGCTAAACAAAGGAGTAGCCAGGCGCTGGTGGCTCACGCCTATAATCCTAGCTACTCAGGAGGCTGAGATCTGAGGATCACAGTTTAAAGCCAGCCCAGGCAGGAAAGTTCGTGAGACTCATCTCCAATAAACCACTAGAAAACCGGAAGTGGTGCTGTGGCTCAAGCAGTAGAGCACTTGCCTTGAGCTGAAGAGCACAGGGACAGTGCCCAAACCCAGAGTTCAAGCCCCACGACCGACAAAACAAAACAAAAAAACCGAATATATTTTGCCTGAGTACCAATGGTACATGCCTATAATCCTAGCTACTTGGGAGGTGAGATTAGAGGATTTTGGATCCAAGCCAGCCTGGGCAGGAAAGTCCTTAAGACTCTTAGTTCCAATTAATCACCAGAAAACCAGGAGTAGCACTGTGGCTCAAATGGTAGAGCTCTAGCCTTGAGTGGAAGAGCTCAGGGAGCTGAGGTGCCCAGGCCCAGAATTCAAGTCCCATGACTCAAAAAAAAAGAGTATGTCTTATAATTTTATCCTTTATGTGTCTCCTTATTTTTCACAGACCTCTGATATCTTATATCCGAAAGTTCTACTACTATGATCCTCAGGAAGAGGTATACCTGTCTCTAAAGGAAGCGCAGCTCATTTCCAAACAGAAGCAAGAGGTAGAGCCCTCCACGTAGCGAGGGCCTCCTGTTGGTCACCACCAAGGGTAAGGACTCTTTGCTTCCCTGCCCAGCCTATGTACTGGGCAGTTTTCATCATGTGTTGAGCATCATGCCTCCCCACAATTTCCCATGTGTACCCCCAGTCCAGGCATCTGGACTCACCAAGGAGTATGTACTCTGTTTAGAAGAAAGTCAGACAAGAAATACTTAGGCTGGGCATGGTGCATGACTATTATCTTAGCACTGAAACAGGAGGATTACTGATTCAAAGTCAGACTAGATTTTTTTTTTTTTTGCCAGTCCTGGGGCTTGATCTTAAGACCTGGACACTGTCCCTGAGCTTCTCTTGCTCAAGGCTAGCACTCTACCACTTGAGCCACAGCATTACTTCTGGCTTTTTCTGTTTATGTGGTACTGAGGAATCAAACCCAGGGCTTCATGCATGCTAGATAACACGCTACCACTAAGCTACATTCCCAGCTCCCAGACTGAATTATATATAGGCTTTAAAAAAAGAGCTGGGGGGCTGGGAAGGTGGCTCAGTGGTAGAGCGCTTGCCTTGCATGCATGAGGCCCTGGGTTCGATTCCTCAGCACCACATGAGCAAAAAGAAAAAAGCCGGAAGTGGTGCTGTGGCTCAAGTGGTAGAGCGCTAGCCTTGAGTTGGAAGAGCTGAGGGACAGCACCCAGAGTTCAGGCCCCATGACCGGACCCCAAAAAAAAAAAGAGCTGGGTGCTTGTAATCTTAGCTACTTAGGAAGCTGAGATCTGAGGATCATGGTTCAACGCCAGCCCATGAGACTCTTATCTCCAATTAACCACTTCAAACCCAGAAGTAGCACTGTTACTCAAGTGGTAGAGCATTAGCCTTGAACACAAAGAGGCTCAGGGACAGCATCCAGGCCTTAGTTGAAACCCCACAACTGACAAAAAAAAAAACATATACCCAAAAAACATAAAGCCAGGTGCCAGTAGATCATGCCTGTAATCCTAGCTACTCAGGAGACTGAGATCTGAAGATTGTGGTTTGAAGCCAGCCTAGGCAGGAAAGTCTGTGAGACTCTTATCTCTAAGTAGGGGAAAAAGAAGAAGAAAAGCTAGAAGTAGAGCTGTGGCTCAAATGGTAGAGCACTAGCTTTGAACAAAAATACTCAGAGATAGCACCTATCTAGTCCCTGAGTTCAAGCCCCAGGCCCAGCACAAAGAAAAAGAAGGAGAGAGGAGAGGAGGCAAGGAGGAAAGAAAGAAAGAAGGCTAGGGTCATGGTTCAAGGGATCAACACTTGCCCAGCAAATGCAAATCCCTGAGTTCAAGTCCCATTACCACTAAAAGAAGAAAAGGAGGGGGGTGGGGGCAGGAAATACTTTAAAATGTGCCAAGTAGGCAGGTGCTGGTGGCTCATCCTCATAATTCTAGCTACTTAAGAAGCTGAGATCTGAGAATCATGGTTCAAAGCCAGCCCAGGTAAGAAGGTCCGTGAGACTTTTTTTTTTTTGGGTCCGGTCCTGGGGCCTGAACTCTGGGCCTGGGTGCTATCCCTCAACTCTTCAGCTCAAGGCTAGCACTCTACCACTTGAGCCACAGTGCCACTTCCGGCTTTTTTTTTCTTCTTGCTTATGTGGTGCTGGGGAACCGAACCCAGGGCCTCAGGCATGCAAGGCAAGCACTCTACCACTGAGCCACCTTCCCAGCCCCATCCGTGAGACTTTTGTCTCCAATTAACCACCAGAAAACTGGAAGTAGCGCTGTAGCTCAAAGTGTTAGCGCACTAGCCTTGAACACAAAAGCCCAGGGACAGCGCCCAAGCCCTGAGTTCAAGCCCCACAACTGACCAAAAAAAAAAAAGGAGCTGGGCCCTGGTGGATCACGTCTGTAATCCTAGCTACACAAGAGCCTGAGATCTGAGGATCACGGTTCAAAGCCAGCCCAAGCAGGAAAGTCCGTAAGACTCTTATCTCCAATAAACCACTAGAAAACCGGAAGTGGCACTGTAGCTCAAGCAGTAGAGTGCTCGCCTTGAGCTGAAGAGCAAAGGGACAGCGCCTAAGCCCAAAGTTCAAGCACCAAAACCGGGAAAAAAAATACAGAAAGAAAATGTGGAATGTGTTTAGGCAAAAAGTTAGTGAAAACTTCATCTCAACTAACAAGCTAAGTGGTGGTGTTCACAGCTGTGATTCCAGATATATAAGAGACATAAGTTGGAAGACTGGGGTCTGAGAATAGCTCTAGGCAAAAATAAGAGACCTTATCTGAAAAATAACTGTTTTTGAAAAATATACCACTTCCTGTCTTAGTTTTCTTTTTAGCCTCTAGACCAAGTGGGTCAGAGGAAAAAGTAAGGGAAAGTGGGTGGTAGTAAACTAAAAGGTAAGAGAATAGAGAATATGAGTAATGTTATAAGATATATTTCCTCATTTATTTCAGAACCTCATTTTGGCACTCAATAATATGCTTGACACAGAAGTAATCTCCATATCCCCAGCCAGCTGAGATATTTGCACAAGCATCTGGCTGTCTAAGCTCTTCTCCTTTTCAGCTTCGCTTCTCCAACCTCCAGCAGTTAGTTCTGTCACTCCATTTTAGTTGTATACTGTTGAACCAAACCATCTTCTTCCTTCTGTGTTTTACCTAGGCATATGATTGCCAAGCTCCAGTTTGAAGAGCCAAATGTAAAGAAGAACTAGGAAAAACAAGAGAGAATATGAAGAATTGGGAGTCTCTGTGCAGACTTTGTTTCCCCTATAGCCCTGGGGCTTGGAAGAAGCACACAGCCATACTCTGAGTGGGGCTCCAGCATTTTGCATCCCCATGGTACCCCAGAACTAGATAAGCTCCTTGAAAAACTGGAAGAAGTCTCAACACTGTTTTTATTTTTGTTTTTTTTTCAATAAGTTTTGTTTTTGATATTTCCATTTCTCAGAATGGAAAACTCACTTTGAAGGCAGCTAAGCTTTGTGCCCATTGGACTGAAAGTAGTATAAAGGAAGATCAGGTCCAAAGGGTTGGGAGTAGAGGAGTCTAGTTCAGCTAGTAACAAAAAATATGAGTCCTCACCATGGATCTTGAGGAAGGGCAAGAAGTCAGAGAAGGGCAAAGTGGAACTGGAAGTTTCTGCAGGAAGGAGAATCAGCTCCTCAGTGCCAAGAGTCAGTAGGAATGGGAGAAAGGAGGGTGGTGCTTGGCAGGAAGATTGTTAGACTGGCAAATACTTAGCTAGAGGAAGTAGTGACTCCTCACAGCCTCCCTTTTAAGGGTTGGAAACTTGATTTCAGAATATGTCTTCATTCTGTTTTACTTCATTCTTTAAGCTCTGTGACCTGAAGTTACCACCATTTTCCCTTTACCCTTAGCCCTTTTCCCCTGAGATAACTGTCCATTTCACTTCAGTCTGGTAACATCCTGTTACCTCCACTGCTATTGCTTCTACCAGCTGGTGAGGCTGCTCTATCACCTGAGCAGTACAGAGCTCCAATCTGGGATGCTGAGGTTAATGGAACATGCTTCCGGTAACTTCATGACAAACAGGGGCCATGGTTTAGGCATCCTTGTTGCCTCCATCTGTTAGTGAAAAGGAATGTAGAAGAAGGTGAGAAACAGTATTGTGCTCTTCCTAGAGGAAGCCCAGTGTCTCAGCCTTAATGAGATTTCCTTAGTGCAGAGGAAGAGTATCACCTCGGGTTTTTGGGTTTATCTGTTGTTCTAGAGATAGCAATGGCTTCTTTATTTTTATGTTCATCCTAGCAACCAAGACATTTCCTGAGTCAGATCCTGTTGTCCTCCTTTCAGTGGGAAGTTCTGTCAGATGGCTTGTTTCACAACTGGACATGAAAAACGGAGGATAAAAACTCAGTGTTTTTCAGTGATCTTTAATTATGCCTGCAGCCAGCCATTGCCAATCATACAATATTGTGAGTTTGCTTTCTCATAGTTACTCTCTATGGGAGAGGTTTGCTGTTAAAATGTGACAGCTGAGCTGTTGGGTCTTTATTACTCTTCTACATTGTGTTCTATGTGACTGTCTTTTGGATGTCTATGCTGTGTCTGCCTCAGATCAGGAGACAAATAATGCTGTCAGTTTGGGGGCAAGGTCCCTCTGTCTTGGTTGTTTTATAGGACTGCCTCATCTGGAAGCCTTGCCTGGAAGGATCAGTTTTCTTCCTTGTAGCTGAACAGAGAGGAAATATGCATTATTACTACAAAGAGATGACCCACAAGATGTGTTTTGCAGCATAAACCCAGCCACAATATCCTACGGTACCTCTCCTTTCTTTGGTTTCAATACCAGTTTTATAAAATTGTGATCCAGCCAGGTGTCGATGGCTCTTGGCTGTAATCCTAGCTGCTCAAGTGGCTGAGATCTGAAAATCACAGTTACAAGCCAGCCTTGGCAGGAAAGTTCATGAGACTCTTATCTCCAGTTAACCAGCAAAAAGCTAGAAGTAGAGGTATGACTCACAAGTGGTAGAGCATCAGCTTTGAACAAAAAAGCCAAGCAAAAAGCAGGAGGCCCTGAGTTCAAGCCCCAGTACCAACACACACACACACACACACACACACACACACACACACACACACACACACACACACACACACACACACACACACACACACACACACACACACACACACACACACACACACACACACACACACACACACACACACACACACACACACACACACACACACACACAGATTGTGATCCAAAGATTGGCTTAACCTGTGAGTCTTGCCTCTGGTGAGTGTAAGTTGTTTGCCATTTTGCAGAAAGTGTTACCCTACCATAGAGCCTGAGGTATGAAACCCAATGAGGTCTTTGAGTGGCTAATATGCAGACTACCTGTAATTTCATCCCACCCACCCCCCATTTTAGCTACTCATAATTTAAAAATTATTTTTTTAGTGTGTTTTCATGGCTGTGGGCTAGTTAGTAAACATGTTCCCTGGACTGAGGGAACTTTCAAGTCACTGCTGCTCATGATGTAATTGGAGAATGACTCATTGTAGCAGAGAATCAAGGCCTGTCTTTAAAGACATTTAGAGTGGGTGAGATCAGGGAAGACCAGATGGTCTGGGAGAGCGCTGCAGCAGTGAGGCTTTGGGTTGTAGGCAGGGGAAGCATAAGAAGAGAAATACATGAACAAAAGCGATGAAGCAGAAATCCGCATGGTGTGTGCTGGGCAGTATACCGTTTTTTCAGAGCACCATCATTACAAAATCCGATCAGTGCAGTGGTCTAGACGGAAGCTTCTCAGGCATGAGGCAGGTCTAAAAGTTAAAAGTATCTGGTAGGTGGAGGCCAAAGCCAGAAATCAGCCAAGTGACTATCAATGGCCCAGCCCCTCACTATTGACCTTTATCTGCTCAAACTCTGAAGGAGATGATAGTAGTCAACAGTGAGTACCTTTGTGGTACTGGGGTTTGCAGTAGAGAATTCATACACTCAGGAACAAAACCAAACTGGCTTGCAGAGGCATGTCCCAACTGCCTGTCTCTCTCTTCCCCCACCAGTTCCTGGGGAAGACTGTTTACATATATGTGGTCTATCTGCTTTTCTCACAGCTTAGATTGGCCTGACCCTTCCTTAGTTGAATACACTGCAAAGGACATCACAATCTCCATCAGGTATGAGTGTTTGGTGCAGATGGGCGTGGCCTTGTATAGAACAAGTTAGATAAGCAGTGGAGAGAAGGGGACTGAGACTGTTGACTAAAGTGCGGGTTGGCTAGAGTCAGTAGAGCAGAGGAAAGTAGGAGCAGGGCTGGTGGTTAGCACTTGTCCAGGGCTGAGCATGCCAGTGGAAATGCAGTGTGCAGTGTACTCATTCCTCTCTACTTCTATGCTAAAAGTCATGAACTAGGAAAGGCTCTTACTTCTAGAGACGCATTGTTGGTTTCTCTGTTGTGGGTAGGGAGTGTCAGTACTCTCAGGTCCTTTACTTGTTTATGACTGATCTATTGTATTGCTCAGCTTGGTATGCACCAATGTGAGCTAGTGTCAACTACTGCTGCAACCTGCTGTTACTTGAAATGCTTGTATTATATTTAGAGCACAGGAGTAACAGGGTGGGGGCTTTGGTGTGGGGAACTAGATAAATGAGTGACAGCTGGTCCTTGAAATAATTTGGGGATCACTTACGACGACCTTGGCCTGGTCTCCTACCTATGCCAAGATAAAAGAGAACATGGATGGCAGTATCAACCTCCTGAGAAGAAAGATGACAGGGAGCTTCTTGGATTCTTCTTTCTTTCCTTCTTTTCATTTGGGCTGATTGTGTGGTTGGAAATGATGTGGAGATAGCATATCCTCTCCAGGATTCATCTGGAAGGATTGAGTGGAGATGGTCAGAACTCCCAGGTCCAGGCGTGTGAGACTGGAATAGAGCCAACCTTTTCTACTGAGCTCCCAGCAGAGCACAGTCTGCTTGAAGTCCCCATCCAGAAGGAACTGGGGATAGGATGAGGTTTCTCCCCCAAAGTGAGATTTTTTTTCCTCTCTGCTGTCTCTCCCTTCATTTTGAGCCCAGAGGTTAGAGGACCAGGCACTAGGATGTAGCTCTGACTACTGGAAAGGTCTGCAAGTCTGTGTGTGGTGAGTGAATGAGTATATGTGTCTTCATTTGCAGAAGTCTTGTGTCTAGTTGGAGTATTGAGAGCATCTCCACTGGTGGGGGACTGGAATTTGTTTTCCACTTAAAGAGAATGACATGGCCCCCATGTGTAGGGGAAGAGCTTTTGAGTTAGACATTTTCCCTATGGGAATCCTCTTGGTTTGGTTTGTGGGAAAGGGAGAGATGGATAAGTGGGTTTTATCTCTAGTCGTCAACACAGCTGTCTTTACACTGAATTTGTGCTATTGCATACATGTAGCCATCTTTCTTTTTCACTGCAGCAGTGTTTATCAGTAGTTCAAAATGATTTATTTGCTCCTGGGGAGTAAAACCTTTTTTATTAAAAAAAAAAAAAGAAAAAAGAAAAAGAAAAAAAATATGCCCTATTATACTATGATAGCTGTAGGATTATGGGGCCACAGAAGTCCACAAGTCCCAGTATGTATCCTGTTTTGACATTGGAGCCCTCATGCTCAGCACAGAATGACAGGAGGCCTCGAGCAAATGGAAACGTTTTTGGAGAAATGAGATGGGTTGAATCACAGAGACAGGCACTGGGGACTCAGGTACTGCAGTTCAGAAACAGAGGAATGAGTTGCATTTACAATATGGATTCTCTAATCTGCCAGAGGAAGAGACCTTTCTTACAGCAGATTTCATGTCATCTTTGTCCTTTTCATTGCTTTTTGGGGCACGGGGTGTATTGGGGTAGGGGGATCACCTAGTTGTTCCTGTCTCCTTTCCTGCCCTCTCTGCACCTTTTCCCATTCCTTCCCACTCTCATCTACCTCCCAGGAAGCCAGCCCTGCATGCTGAGTTTGTGACATGCCTTCACTCCCATTTCATTCAGCAGGTTTTAGAGGGTTCCTAGAAGTGCTCCCTTCCCCTCTCCTACTCCTCCATGCCAGGAGGCATAAAGGGGCCGGCAAAAGCAGCCAACCATGGCGAGAAGACACCTATATCAGGTCGCAGCTGGACTGCGATTGTAGTTGCTCCTGGAGACAAAAACATAAAGAAAACAGGACACTATTCATTAGAACCCATCCGGGCTAATCATGTACCTGTACACAGCCACACTCGGCTGTGTCCGCAGCTCCCTAACCAGCTCCGATGGAGTGGCAGGCTGGTCTAACCACTCCATCCCTGGTGCTTCATAGGACAGGCAGGATCCGGGCACCACCCTGTGGGCAGGCCAGTTGTTGGGATGCCCAAAGCGGTATTGCCATGGCACAGCCACTGCTGTACATTTTGGTTGTTTTTAAGGAAGTCCATGATGAAGGGTGTCGTTCTGGCTTCATGTGGTTGCCAGTTCACTAGAAGGGGAGCCACTCCCTGCAACCACCCTGTCCCAATTAGCCACCCCTGCCCTCCAAGCCAAAGCGTGGCCTGGCTTTTGTCTTCCCATTTAGTTGTCCTTTCCCTCTCCCCTTTTGTGCTTAATTTATTAAAATAGTTGCTGTATAATTTATTTTCATAAACTATAAAAAATGACTAAATGGTTAAAATAGACTTGCAGGCCAATCTTAAATGGGGGGGGGAGGGCCTGAGGGAGGGCTAGGGAGAGGGAAAGATGTTTTGATATAAACAAAACAAATGCACTTTGGGTGTGTTTTGGTATTTTTCTGGGTATAGAGGGGTGGGCATTGGGATGTCCCTGTAGACTAGGTCCAGAATGGGGTGTCTGTATATACTGTATTAATAGGCATGTTTGACTCTTGTAAAGGGACATTAGTAGCTGCTGCAGGTCCTGTTTGGAAATCCCATGTACAATTCCCAGGTTTTGTAAGTGTCAGTGCGGGAGACCTTTGACTCTTGTGTTTGTATCTCCTTTTTATGATTGCTGTACCGACCCATGTCTTTTTGGGGAGGGGTGAAAAGAGATTTGAAATAAAAATGTTTAGAAATCATTTCATCCCATTGGAGTTTGTGGTTTTTCAATCTCTCTCCCATCTTCTGCCTCCTCACCTGTCTCAGGATGGGAAGGTGTGATGTCAATAGCTCTGACACACCTAATGCTGAGCTGGTCTTGGTAGAGGTGTTGGAAAACCCCTGAGGCTTATGGCCATTGTTTAAGGCTCTTTGGTCTTCCCCAGGAAGTGCAAGAGATTCCAGAGAGCCTCTGGGTGCTTCTTGCCTTGGTGAGCAGTGGTGTAGGCCCTGCCTATGAGATTTCATATTTTCCCATGTTTGGGCAGTGGTTATCCCATGGTGGGTAGTCAAGATTTCTTATACATTTCATCTACATATCTCTCCAGCTACCATTCTGGAGTTGACTTGTTTGTTTGAGCCTATATAGGGAGTCTCCATGTAGTCCAGACTGGCCTAGAATTTGCAATCCTGCCTTAACCGCTCAAGTGCTGGGATTACACACCAGCAAGCATCATGCCCAGTTCTTCTTCCTTCCTACTGCCTTTCTATCCATTACCTCTTGAGCCGTTTGGAGAGAATACCCGCTATGTTCCTTTGACTTACACCAGTTTGTTCCTGGACCCACTCAGATCTCCCGGCTTCACTTTCCCACCCAATCTCTCTACAAGTTCACCCTGTAGGAGGCGATGGACTACCTTTGTGCCTTTTGGGGAAATTCTCTGCAGAGAATAGGGAAGCACACCAAATAAGATGACTTCCATGTCTAGGAAGTCATTTCTATGGGCCTGATGAGAAGGAAAGGAGTCTTGAAATTCTTTACGAGTCCCCAGTACAACTTTTGTTGTTATGGAACCATCTCTAGTCAATTCTGATAGTCTTTTTGGTGGCATTAGCTCCTGGTATTCCCTCTCGGAAGCAAGGGTGGTATATGCCTATAATCTCAGCACTCGGATGAAACGGGTGGATCAGAGAATCCTAAGTTTGAGGCTAGTCTGGGTTATACAGTGAGACCCTGCCTCACAAACCGAGAAAGACAAAGAGGGAGGGGGGAAAGAGGAAGAGAAATAGCTTGAACAATGAAAGGAATATTACAAGGGAAAATGCTTCACTTGGAATCTAATAAATTATGGCTATTTGGGCAAAGCAACTAGTCGAGCAAACAAGCTCAGGGATAGCACTCAGGTCTTGAGTTCAAGCCCAGTATTGGTGCATGCATACATATACACACACACAGTATAGGTAGGTCAGGCACCAGTGGCTCATGCCTACAATCCTACCTACTCAGGAAGCTGACATCTGGAGAATCATGGTTCCAAGTCAGTCTGGACAGGAAAGTCAAATATAAAGCTACCTCTCCTGCCTTTTTCATCCCCCTCCGTGAAACTTCCATTTCTTGTGCTCCCTGTTTACACCTTCCAACTACCACATTTATTCTATCCCAAAGGCTGTTCTATCTGCCTTCTATAGCCGAGGTAAAGCACATAGACACGTAATTTACAAGCCAAGAGTAAACAATGTAGGTGATTCCCCATGCCAGTCAGTTGTATGTCGCCTGATTGAAGATGAAAAAAGTGGGTTCCTTATCTTTCTTGGTTCCCTCCAACCTCTCATAGTGTGAGAAGCTTGTGTACAATCTTAGCGCACTTTTAGTTCAGAACACCCACCATTTTCCCTCTCATGTTCAGCCAAAGACACAGAATTGATTCCAACTCAGGAAAGGTACTAGCTAAATTGCTAAATCTCTAATAGGGACCCATCTCAAGGGACTTGTTGTTGTTGTGGGGCTTGAACTCAGGGCCTGTCCCTGAGTCTCTTTGTGTTCAAGGCTAGCACTCTACCACTTAAACCACAGCTCCATATCTGGTTTTCTGGTGGTTAATTGGAGATAAGAATCTTACAGACTTTCCTGCATTGGATAGCTTCAAACCACGATCTTCAGATTTCAGCCTCCTGAATAGCTAGGATTACAGGCATGGGTGTTTGGTCTGATCGTTTTTAAATGATGTTTTGAAGGCAGAACATCTGCCTTTCAGAAGGCATTGAGAGGAATGTATAGACTTCAGGAGCCCTGTGTTGGAGGCTGCAGAGGGCTGGCTGCCCTATAGGAGGCAGGCCCGGGAGGAAGTTGCTGCTGGTAGTGATAAAGGGAAGCCAGAGTCCTTGGCCTTTTCCTGCCACCTAGTGGCTGCACAGGCTAGACCACTCAGCCGCCCCTCAAGTTTAGGCAATGATAGGTGAAGAAATACAGTATGCTAGTTAGTACTCAGGGTTTGGACACTGTTCCTTAGGGGTTTTTTGGTTGGTTTTTTTTTGGGGGGGGGGGTCGGGTCGTGGTGCCTGAACTCTGGGCCTGGGCGCTGTCCCTCAGCTCTTCAGCTCAAGGCTAGCGCTCTACCACTTGAGCCACAGCGCCACTTCTGGCTTTTTTCTTTTTGCTTATGTGGTGCTGAGGAATCAAACCCAGGGCCTCATGCATGCAAGGCAGCGCTCCACCACTGAGCCACCTTCCCAGCCCTGTTTCGTACTTTTTTTTTTTCTCAAGGCTGATCTGTGATCCTCAGATCTCAGCCTCCTGAGTAGCTAGGATTACAGAAGTGAGCCAATGGTGCCTGGCTAGCTAAATATTCTTAAACATCACCTCCAGTCCTCTTCTGCCCCATTTTATGCCCTGCTCCTGGACAATACAGGTCTTCACATCCTCCACCTGTCCCTTGCTTGTAGAACAAGTTACCTTGGTGCAGGTAGGGGGGGAGTGGGAAGTGTTTTTTTTTTTTTTGGGTGGTGTCCAGTCATGGGGCCTGAACTCTGGGCCTGGGCGCTGTCCATCAGCTCTTCAGCTCAAGGCTAGCGCTCTACCACTTGAGCCACAGCGCCACTTCCGGCTTTTTTCTTTTTGTTTATGTGGTGCTGAGGAATCGAACCCAGGGCCTCATGCATGCAAGGCAAGTGCTCTACCACTGAGCCACCTTCCCAGCCCGGAAGTGTTTGTTTTATGGGCTTCTTGGTGGTGGGTTTAGAAACTGAAGCTGTGCACCCCAAGTTGGTGTATTCCAGGCTCATGCCCCACCTAACCCCTGCTGCCTGGGCATTGGCTAGTGACAGATGCTAAGGTCCTAGACCCACTTAGTTTCTGCCCTAGATTCTATTTAATTCTATCAACATATTCAGTTTTTTGTTTTGTTTTGTTTTTTTGTCAGTCATGGGGCTTGAACTCTGGGCCTGGGCGCTGTCCCTCAGCTCTTCAGCTCAAGGCGAGCGCTCTACCACTTGAGCCACAGCGCCACTTCCGATTTTCTGGTGGTTTATTGGAGATAGGAGTCTCACAGTCTCTCCTGCCCAGGCTGGCTTTGAAACTCGATCCTCAGATCTCAGCCTCCTGAGTAGCTAGGATTACAGGCGTGAGCCACCAGCGCCCAAACATATTGTTTTGTGCAGGCTTTGGGATGGGGTTCTCCTAAGCTGCCTTCCACCTTCTCTGGAGGATTTGCCCTTTTGTCTCCAGAGGAGAGAGGAAGAGAGGAGAAAGGAGCAGAGACTGAACCCCAAGGCATGCTGGGTAACACTCTCATGTGTCCCTCACCCAGGGGAGGAGGCTGCCTACAATGATACCTTCATTGCATCATGTCGGGCTCCTGTCCATAAGGCATTAGGGACTATTTGGGGAGGGGCCTAGCCTTGTTGGGTAAGGAGCTTGGGAAGGGGGCCAGAAGCCACACAAGAGCCACATCTTGGGTTGTGAATCCAGAATCAGGTGTCCAAAGAAATATGTGTCTACTCTGCTACCCATGCCCTTCCTACCCAATACCCACTTTCCTCTCTCAGGGCCTGGCAGACTCAGCTGCACCCAACCAGGATTGCATCATGCTTGGCTTTGTTCTCAGAGCAGCAGGTGCAGGACCTCCCCTCCCCCCCCATTCCTCCCTCCTCCAAACCTTCCCAGGTCCATGGCACCTTTGAGTTGTGGGTCCTCCCGTGATGGCACAGGGAGGGAGTAGGAGACCAAGCTAGAGTGTACCCATGATTATATCTGTGCCCTCCCCTCTAAGAACACTGGGTTGTAGCTAAGGTATGGCCTTTCAGAATTGGGTGACAAGGCCAGAAATTGTCACCTGCTAAACTAAAGCTAGTAATCAATGTCAAATGAACTTATTCAACCCTTGTAGAAAGTACTTAACTAGTGTTGGGTGTTTGTAAGCCTGCCCGTGGACCAAGCCCTCACAGTCCACATTTGCATCTAATCTTTCAAGAAGCCTGTCAGGCAGCACTATTATCATTCCTGGTCTACAGAGCGGAAGCTTGTGTGTGGGAGGTGAGGATACTTGCCCAAGATCATCACTCAGCTGATCACCACTCACACATTTTATTTTATTTTTATTTATTTTGTCAGTCCTGGGGCTTGAACTCTGGGCTTGTGCGCTATCCCTGTGCTCTTCAGCTCAAGGTGAGTGCTCTACCACTTGAGCCACAGCACCACTTCCGGTTTTCTGGTGGTTAATTGGAGATAAGAGTCTCATGGACTTTTCTGCCTGGGCTGGCTTTGAACCGTGATCCTCAGATCTCAGCCTCCTCAGTAACTATGATTACAGGCGTGAGACACTGGCGCCCGGCCACTCGTGCATTTTAATCTTGATCTGTCTCCCTCTAGTGGGACTTGAAGCCTTACCAAGAGATGGTTGGTAAATGTGGTGCTAAGGAAAATTGGACATTTTCTTTTCCTTCCTTCCTTCCTTCCCTCTTTCCTTCCTTCCTTCCTTCTTCCCTTCCTTCCCTCTTTCCTTCCTTCCTTCCTTTCTTCCTTCCTTCCTTCCTTCCTTCCTTCCTTCCTTCAGCTCTCCTCTCCTCCCTCTCCTCTCTCTTAATGGTATTGGGATTTGAACTTAGAGCCTCATCCTTGCTTGGCTTGATTTTCTAACTCAGCTTGCTTGTTCACTTGAGCCAACCTCCAGTTCTGCTCTCTGCTGGCTAATATTTTATTTTTATTTTTTGGTGCCAGTACTAGGGCTTGAACTCAGGTCCTAGGGGCTATCCCTAA